TTTTATGTCCTCTTCATTACAGTAATTATTTTTGTCTCATGATTAAATAATGGATTCTTTACAAAGATACTCACTTCTCCTTTTACCAGCTTTTGTCCACAGCAACTATATCCTACAGTATAACTGTTTAGATTAACATGTACAATCAATGTTGCTTCCCTAGTGATGTGGATGGAAGCAGTAATGCCCTTAGCCCAATAACAAAGCGTTTCTTCCACTCCAAACAAGAAACAAATTATAAGAAACATACACCATAGAATCTAGTAAATATACAGGGCAGCTGCTATGCAACAGAAAAGCAAATTACGGATAAGGAGAACCAAACTGTCATTACGTAATTTCAAAATTATTTTCTGCTTCTGTGAGAGTTTCAAGATATGTGTTCATAGAACAGCACTGGCAGTAAACAATACATTATAATTAATCTGTGACTTGAATGAATAAAAAAAGTAAAAAAAAGTAAAGCTATCCCTGTACCAGGCCGTGAAGGCCCATAGGGTTGTGAGACGTTGAGGGTCCCATACTATCTAGACAATCGGCTCAAAAATGGCGGTAAGGTTGTCAGCCTTACACGCCGGCCACGCTTTACTCCCCAGGAAAATTATTTAATTAATTCCTGGTACTCATTTCTGTTAGAGGCTGAGTAAATCCCAGGGCCTAGTGTGGCTGGAAGGATTAGGTCAATTGAAAAAATCCTATGACCTCATCGGGACTTGAACCTGCGACAATAGCAACATAAATCAATCCAATTGTGTTAACCATTAATACTCAACAATGTTTAACCAAGTGGAATTTGCCAGTCATGTGAATCATTTCTCCCTCACATGCCTCTTCAAGGCATAGTGCTCAATTACTTAAGCACACGGACAACTTTACCTTTTACCTTTAAATCCGAGACTTTACTTTGTAGCTGACACAGAATAACAAACATACAAACCTGCTACAGTAATTCCTCCCACACATTTTTCACAGCTTCCATTCCAAACCCATTTTGATCAACGTTGCTTTTGTAACATCTCTTAGTCCGGGACCAAACCATTTCAGTGTGACTGAAATTGCACTGATACAGTGGTGTGTGTAAAACTGTGCTTCCATGCTCTTCAACCAATTCATTCATTTTAAACCTGAGAAAGAATTTCATATACTGCATGTTTAGGACTGGTTAACCTTAGGTTCTATTAAAACATGAAAGGAATTATACAAATCTCTGATATGTACTTACACGTAGAGAAAACTCCTTCAGTGTGGTTCAAACTGTACACTCACTAACTTTCAGAGCTACACATACACATTCCAGTATTGCTATGGGCAGTAAAACAGACTTATTATTTGTGATTTTCAAATACTTATCTTGGAAGAAATGGTGAATATTCCAGACAGCCTCATTAACTCACATTTCTTCACACATGAAGACCAGTTGCACATTGTCATCTGTACTGTATGTGTCATCATTTTCTTGCTTTCGGTTTATTTGTAATTCCCTATTATAGTCACATCATGATCAGAAACACTTGAACGCACTACTATAGACTTTGTGCTTACATACCTAATGCAACAACACTGTGTCGGAAAACACGTAAAGCACAAAGCATTCATCGAAATCTGTATTTGAGTGAAAGTAACATGCTCTGATTAGATTTAACTTCAACGTGAACACATACTTCAGTATGCATACTGTCTCTATAAGCAAAATAACATATAATTATTGGTCTTATTTGCAGTTTGCTTCCATCATGAATTTACATTGTCCATCTTGAAGGTCCATGCATCTGCATCCTGAAATACCCAGTCTTTGGGGTATGGCATAATATACACCCTACAAACAAGTACTGATTAACATATCGACTATTAGCTGTGCATGCTTTCTGTGGACATTTTTTTTAAACTTGTTTAAACTATCTGAAACAGGTCCCAAAGGCAATACCAATCATGGCTCACCTCAAATGCAGATTTTTAAACAATCATCATTTTAAATTTATCAAGATCAGGAATAAAAAACAAGATGGACATGGGAAATTGCAAGGTGGGAAGACACAACTGTAGCAATGAAGTCTGAGCCGTGCACCACTGTGCAACTCCACCCTAATTAGAGCAGCAGCAGCTGACTCTCTGGCTGGGAAATGAAGGCATACCTGTGCCTTGAAGAAAATACTGGATCTGGTACAATGTCGAAGTCTGTCACGACACGGAAGGAAATTTGTAAAGGATGAATATGAAGAGAAATGAAGAGTGGTGGTCTGCTGAAAGTCAACCGATGTTTCAAAGGAACATTGCCTCCATCTTCATGGTTGAAAATCTGGCTCTGGTTGACAACTGCTTTCACACTGGTTTCTTGCCCGGCTTATTCTTCAACTCTGAAGATGGAGGTGGTATGTCGAAGATATGGCTCTGGTTGCAAACTGCTTTCACGCTGGTTTCTCGCCTGGCTTATTCTTCAACTCTGAAGATGGAGATGATGTTCCTCTGACACATCGGTTGACTGTCAATGGACTACACAGTGTTACATCCCAGAAGACAATACTCTTCACAACCACTGCTGTCAGAACCTCAAATTCTATATCAAAGAGATTTGGAAGTAAGTGGTCGCAGTATAATCGTGGTAATTATCTAGGCATTTGCCTGAAGTTGCTGAGGAAAGCCACAAAAAATTGCAGCCAGGATAGCTGGTGTCCCAGCTGGGATTCGAACCGAGCATCTCCTGAATATAAGTCTAAATGGTTATCGCTACATTAACCCACTTGGTACAACTGCTTCACTTTGCTTTATATGACATTGACACTAATTTCTGCTGCTCTTTTGTTTATATTTGGGCCATTAACTGGCAGTCACCTAAACATGTTATGCAGCAATGTAAACAAGTGCCTGTAATTTTGCCTAATTCTGTAACTTGAAGCCAGTAGCAATGTCATGATTGCTATGATGCAGTATTTTTATTGTTGTTTCTCAGATTCTTGTACAACAATGCAGTTTTCATCACACTGTCAGGGAATTTCATGTTACTACTTGTGACAAAATGCTGCTTTATGCGTTGGCCACTTCATCCCTGGAAGGAAAACCTTAATACCCCCTGGATAGGGGTGTGCGTGGGCAGCAGATCTTGTATAGATGCTAAAATCTCTGAACCTATGTACAAGACTAAACTGTCGCAACTCAGAAAGACCAGAACCTAATTTTTACTGCCATAACAACCTCCATTTTCAAGCTTCATATTTTGTGAATAACTACTTTTTTTCTTTTTCCTTGGCACTACAGCTCCAGTGGGCCTAGGCCTACCTCCATGAACTTCTCCGTTCACTTCGGTTTTTCTAGATCAAACACATTCGGTAGGACTCCTTGGGCGGGTGATCAGCTCGTCGCAAGGCCTCTACCTGTACACAAACACAGAAAAACGCACACACACAAACTCAAAAAAAACATCCATGCCCCTAGTATGATTCGAACCCACGATCCTGGTTTCCAAGTGAGCGAGGACAGTACATGCCTTAGACTGCTCGGCTAGTGAATAACAACTACCACATAAAATTTTAGGACGTTATAAAATGGTGGTTGTTTGGCTCCATCTATTTTGCATAGTATGTATATTGCATATGGGGGCTGTTCAAATGAAAATTGTTCACAGCACTGCCACATTTGGACCAAGGCATGAATTCAAAAGTTAACCCTTTTATACCCTAAACACACAAATTTACTGGTGGTAGTATTTAAAATGAAGGACGAGGAAAGGAAGGGTTAAAAAGAACAAAAAAATAAAAGCATGAGGAGATGACAGAAGAAGAGAAGGACAAGAAAAGTAAAGGCAGACGAGAAGGTGGAGAAGAAAATGGAGACAAAAAAAAGAGGAGCAGAAGAGATGGAGGAAGAAGAAGGGAATCAGCAATATGATTAAGCGACAGAAAACAAAAGAGGAAATGAATGGCAAGAAAGGAAAGCAGAATGAAAAATGAATGTTCAGAAAAACCACATTCTTCCCAATGACTTGGCTCTGTAACATTTCTGGACAGGGATTTGTATTTATGCAAGTAGAAATGTGTTGTGTTTTCAGGTTCTCATGACAGGAAACATTAAGAATATGGTCTTCTCAGACATGACACCATGCACTGTGGTAGACAGATATCAAATATTATGATGAACCTCTTGCCTCCATCTTCAGGGTAGAAGGTGAAGTGAATTATATAGAGAAGGGACGGCCAGGACCACAGCTATGAGCAAATGAAAGGGAACCAGTGACCCATAAAAGGACAATTTTATCAGTCGTGAAAAAAGAAATGTAGAAAAAAGGAAATGGGAGAAGAAAGAAGAAAGATGGCCACTCACTCTTCTGTCCTGAACATGGAGGTAGTGGGTGCCTCTGAGATGACATTTTCTACTGGATTACACAGCATCTCATCCTAAAAGACAACAATCTTCATATTAACTCTCATGAGAGCCCCAAATCTCACTGCTGAAAATATCAGCCAGAACTAGGATCTTCATTCGAAAAATATTTATGCAAGAATGGCTGATTCAAGTGGAATGTGGGTCATTTTTATTTGCAGTTTATTTTATGATGCTTTCAGTATATGTACTATAAAGCATCAAATAGTATGATGACTGATGAAGCAAAAAGAATTTGGAAAGCAGTCATGCTTTCCTGATGTTTACTGGAGGGACTGAGGAAAACCACAAAAGCCCTCAGTCAAGATAGTTGGCAAACCCAGTTCCTCCTGAATACAAGTCTAGGGCATTGCTGCCAGACCAAGCAGCCTGGTACAGTCATAACCACATAATAGTGAATATGTTAAAAATGCTATTCCATTTTCTGTAACTAGGCACAATATTATGAGAAACACCTGTAAAGGATAACTTATGAATATTATACTTTCATGTTAAAGAATAAATAATGATAATTTAGGAAGGTAGTAAATTCCAGACTTGTAACACACAATAACCTTATTTTAGTGTATGTAAGTCATGCTACGAATATACACTTGGTTACCTACTTTTGAAATGGCATCACATACCCTAATAACAGCAGAGAAATTGTTTTCTTTCGCAACTTTTGGAATGATGTTGGCAAGAACACTTGCCTCCACAGCGTACACCACTCTAGCTCCAGCCTGGGCACAGAAGATGGACAGAATACCTGCAACATGATTTCAGAATAGAATCTGTGGGCTTATAACCCTGGATATTAGGCTCCAAATATAAAGTATCACTGAAACTAACTCCATGGTATGAAAAAACGAAAGGTTGGACAGTCAGGGTTCAAATCCTGCCATGGACAAGATTTTTCTTTACTCCACAACATTGGAACCAGCTCTGGGCCCACCCAGTTTCATATCCAATGGGTAATGGGTGAATTTACCCTGGAGGGAGAGCAACCGGGGTGTGAACCACTCACCTCCATCTAGTACCAAGGTTAAGAATGGTGGAGCTATACCTCTACTCCCCTGTGTGTCTACATGGTACAGTGCTTAATTAAATTAAGCAGTGCGACAACTTTACCTTTTTATCAGAAACCAAAGGCCCAATACTGAATACTTTTGCAAACGTTAAAACCATCAGAATTCTTTCCGAAGGGAGAGTAATGGGTTTTCTGAAAGGAGGGAGGAAGCCAGAAAATCTGCTTACAAACGTTTGTTGAAGACATCTAAAACTATTTTTACTGATTATCCTACAGTATTCAGAATAGAAGAATATTCATTTAAAGAAATCCTTTTAATTTTTCACATTAAAATTTGGTAATTGCCTCCTTTCTCAATTTTGATTTATCCCCCCTCCCAAAAGAAAAATGGAAAATGGGGAGATGACTGGCTGCCCCATTCCCACTAAGCATTCTTGTCTAGAAATATCACCTAGTATTCTTACTGTGCTTACTAAACACATCTGATCTCCTGAATAATCACTGGTTAATTATAGGCACCGTTTCAAAACTGTCACACAGGACTTTGTGTTCCTGAGCTTCTTGACTCCATCCGTCCGCAAAGAACACAAAGTTTCAAAAACTGGATTCTTTCCTCCACATTCAGATGAAAACATATGAGGGCACCTGCTCAGCTGGATCTTTTGGAAACAGCTAATCTCAGTCACTCAGCCACACGCGGACTCATAACCGTGGCCGTGCTTGCATTACTGACGGAAAAAAAATACAGAATTACAGTATATGCCTGCCTCTTCCACCAAAAGCCATTATCAGGTTCCTCAAATACAGTCACATATAAAGGTAAAGCTATCCCTGTAATAGGCCACGGAGTCCCATAGGGTTGTGAGATATCAAGGCTCACAGATGGCAGTGAGGTTGTCAGCCTTATGTGCCGGCCAGCCTTTACCCCCTGGAAGATTCGTGGTACTCTTTTCTGCTAGATATGGAGTTGACTCCAGGATCATAGTGCAGCTGGAATGATTAGGTCAATTAAAAAAAAAATCCCATGATTTCATTGGGAATCAAACCCGCGACCTTCCATCTTGTAGCAGAGCTAAGCTACCACATGCCCTACAGTTACAGATACTAGAACATAACAGTAACAGATATAGCACCTTCTTCATCTTTTCACATGGTGGAAACAGATCCAGTTTCTGAAACAATGTGTTCTTTTGAAGTAACACACACTGGACAAGAACAGAAACTCCCTAAACCCACGTGGAGTATGTCTTCATGAAAAAACTGACTTACTGCATAGGAGACTGGTTGTTCAACGAGGACAAAATTCTTGTGGAAGGAGTTACATTTCACAGTTTCTTGGACACATGCAGATTATTTGTAATTCATCTCTTTATTGTAAGATACTGCTAAAAATATATTTAAATAATAAATTATGGAGGTATAGCTCCAGGCACTTTTGATCTGAGCACTGAATGGAAGTGAGTGGTCGGCTTCATGACCCAACCACTTTACCTCTGTTAAAATAGCTCCTAGTATGCACTGAACAGAAGCTGAGTGATCCCAGAGACAGTATGAACATTTCAGAAGACATAAAATCTCTGCTCCTGCTGGGATTCAAAAATAATTTCCCAGTTATCAACCCATAAACTAGTCACAATACTGATCTATCCTGGCTATTCCCTTATATAATATTGTTTTGCATATCAGCTACAGAGCCTCCAAGAAAGCCTCCACCTAAAGAAGGCAGCAGTTCTCCTGGAATGCTCGTAGCCATGTACTAGACAATACAGAATTGTACCTCAAAAGACTACAATCTTACACTTATTTTATCTGCACAAACTCATACCTGTCCCAGCTCCAACATCCATGATCACTTTGTCCTTGAAGTATTCTGTGCATGAGAAGATAGCATTTTTATATGCTTGAATCCTGACGGTGTCTCTCAGCATCAGTTGGTGCACCTACATACATCGCCAAGCATGAGACACTTTACAACAGAGTACACACAGCCGTTTCACAGCCCGTTCACCGAGCAATCAGTGGACACTCCAGTCTACACACTCTCTTTGCCTGAGTCAAATTTTACCCAAATTCAGATGTTACAAAGAATGTGCACATGGCATTAACCCTGTCCCTTTGTGGGGGGAGGGGAGAGGGAACATCTATTTGAATTGCCATGAATCAAAATCCATAAATATTAAGTTTAACTGTGAAGAGCTGTCTATGTGACTCTGGAGAGCTCAGTTGCTTGCTGATTGGGTTATGGGGCTTATTTCTTCTGCACAGGATCGAACTGGATAAAATGGTTACCAGAGTCCAGAGATAAAGAGGCTAGGGTATGAAGTTGACCATTCACTTCCATCTAAGGCCAAGGTTAAGAATGTGTGGAGCTATACATCTACACCCCCATGTCTCCAAGGTGTTGTTCTTAATTAAGCACAGGAACAAATTTTTGGCCACTCCCCTTATTTGAATAAATAAAAGGAGACTTATAAAATCACCTTGCTGTCTGTGTGTCTGCCTATACTTCCACTCCAGAAAAATGGAATAATTGAGCCAGAAGTGAAGGCCATTACAATATCATATAAACATATATGACATGATGCCTAAAAGTTGGACTAGTGCAGTCGAAGGAATGCTGTGGAGATGGCCACTGCTAAGCAACAGTCCTGAGGTTGTTAGCCTACTTTATTTGTGTGTCTGTATGTCTCTCCCCTACTGGTTCAAGGGCCTAGGCAATGGCTCAGTAAACCTGCATAAGAATGAACATAAGCAACAACAGAATAATTAATGGACGCATCATTTTCTGTGTGGTCCATTTCATACTAAAGTAAAGTAGGAAATTAGTTCTTACTAGAACTTCTTGTTAGCTTTCTATATCTCAGCATAAAAATGGTGAAATATGTGCCTCAGTAAGAGTAATAATTATTCAAAATATTTAGTTTCATGTGTGTTTTTAAAAGAAATGAAATATATCACTCTAAAAACTATGTGAGTCAATGAAATAATTACAACTAAAAACAAATTAATCAAATAATTCTAAGTGCAGATTCCAGTATCAAATTTCATCCAAGTATATCTGGTGGTGAAAACATAAAATCACCAATATGCCTGGATATTATTCAGATTGAGATCTTCTGAAATGTGATGGAGTGTGGTTTAACAGATGGGCACCAATGTTTTGGGGGAATCATCTGCCTTCAACTTCACCTTTCTCTTATACTAAAGATGGAAACAGCAGATTCCTCTGAAGGAGTGGTAACAATCTATCAGATTACATGATGTCACATCCCAGAAGACAATAATTTTCCTCCATTCATAATAAATAAATTTATATACTGCTTGATGTCAAGATGGATAAAATGCACTTACATCCAGATTATCGTAACTTTCAAAGTACTCAGCTGTGTCATTACTCTCCGCTGTATGTCTAAGAGTCTCCATTGCCCTAGAACAAATCGTTTATGAGAGTTCTGACGTTCTCACAAGGATGAATTTCATTCAATGTTAACACCACCGCACACTGACCTCCGTCTATAGAAACTATACAAACTTTTTCTGAATACTAGACAGGATTGCAGAATACAGTTTAAATCCTTGTATGCTAACTTGAAACAACAAACTAACCTAACCGCTTAGAAGTACCGAAAAAAAAAAAACTCCTGCAACATGGCCCGATGACACCATTATGTGCTAACCTTTGAATTAATCTCCTGTACCTCGTATAATAGTACCAGTTCGGTATTCGTGTATATCTTTAACACCTAGAGTTTTCTTTCGTTCCTTTGTATACGAAATACTCTCTACACTCTAACCTAATTTGTTGATATTACTTTGCACCATATATGAAGAAGTCATATATACTTCTACAGTAATCATCACATTATCACCAAAATACTAATATGACCAATTCAGAAAAATCGTTAAATTTTCTCCGTGTTGCATGAACTTATAACTTTTAACTTACATTATTACGGCTTTCGAAATAATTTCATTTCAAACTTGGAACCAAACCGTAACTTCCGACCAATTCCGACTCTCCGTGTCCACCGTATCCGCTCCTTCACAACGCGGCAACTAAAACTTATTGGCGGGAAACTTCGTCGCCGCCGCTTCTCCGTATTACCTTCGATCGTCCATTTCCGTTTTATCTTCTCATTCTTTTTCATAACGTCTGTGTATGCTGTGTATCTGACAGAAAATAGTACGGTCTACTAGTGGCAGAGGCTTTCCCTTCAATTTTTTAAAGAACCATTTGTGCTGCCTTATTGGTATTTTTCATCACAAAAATATAAGGAGAGTACGGGTTTCTGTGTTGTACTTCCATGCAGTTCTCAGAGTCCGACGTTTCGGAGGAATATATTGACTCCATCTTCAGGGTCGATGAGTAAGCCAAGCAAGAAACCAGCAATTGTGGGTTGTTTCCGAATTACACGACCTTGCAACCCAGAAACTGTACTCTTCACAGTCATTGCCACGAGATCTTCAAAACCAACAAAATATAAATCTTTACCATTACCATAGTTATGTTTGGGACTATGTAGTTAACAGGAATAGTAGCTATTGAAGTCATCATCATCATCAGTAATCTGTCAAGACGACAGGTCCACAGTCTCTTTCAAAACAATNTGAAATCAATAAATCTGCTCTCTTGTACCAAGATTACATACATGGAGTTTCATATAATATTTCACATAGCATAGATAGCATGTCACAATAAAAATTTACAAAATTGGATGTACTATCTTAGCCATGTCTGTCTTCACTTAACAACTCAAGACCTGCTGAACAGATTTTTATGATATTTAACATGTCAGTATTTATTCAAAGTTGTTGACACATTACAATTTTGGTTCGAATATGATAATATTGAAGACTTTACATTAATGCCGATATTTGATGTTGCATGAGAATAACTTGAAAGTACTTGGAGAAAAATGTTTCAATAGAAATGTAGTAGGGTAGAGAAACATGAAATACACATTTCATAGCTAACAAACTTTTTCATAAGCCTTACAGTTTGAGATAAAAAACAAAAGGGAATTTTGTCCAGAGCCAAAAACAGAGCAAAAATGCTGGGACCATTACACTGCAAATATACTTCCTACATAGTTCAATATATTTCTTTAACATTTTAGTTTTACATTTCATAATACACTGTGTCTGAAAAATAATGGTACGGTTTTGGGAAACTCTGTCACCAAATATATAAAAGGCAACACACTAAATGTTGTACCCCTACATTCTCCACTCAAACAGTTTTATGAATGGCCACCAGCAAGATGGTGCAGTGCTGCATTTCTCTATACATGTTATGGAAATTTTAAGTGCAGTATTTCCAGAAAGATGGCTTGGCAAGTGGTGTTCAATTCTGTGTGGCCACCTAGGAGCTCTGATTTCACACTGCTTGATTTTTTACTTTTGGGCTATATACAGAATTATATTTATACTGACAAAATTAGAGACGTGAATATCTTTAAAGTAAGAACAAGGGAAGCGAACAAGATAGTAAATAGAGATATGCTATGGCATGTGTGAGAAGAAGTGGAATACAGATTAAACATATGCAGGGGCACAAATGTTACATATCTGAAGACTTATTAATTATGCTCAAAACTATGTGAGGTACATTTTAAAATAAAATATTAATTACTTGAATGTGTTTCTTATTTTTCCAAGAATTGGATCTCGAAACCAACCATTACTTTTTGGACACCATAGATAAAACTGTCAACAAACATGTCTGAAGGAAATTATGATTACCACCAGCACTTGCAATGTGGTGTTGATGGAAAGGGATGCCATCTCACTTTTGGAAATTCTAAAACCATCCCACTTGCTTTAAGTAAACTTAAAACCATCCCACAACTCCATGAAATATTGTTATATATGAACAAAATTACTAATGGGCCTATTGCAGGGGCATGTTGTAGCATGGTTATTTAAGGCACTATGCTGCAAGACAGAAGGTTGTGGGTTTGATTCCCAATGAGGTCACTGGATTTTTCAGTTCACCTAATACTTCCAGCCGCACTATGGCCCTGGTGTCGACTCATCCTCTAACAGAAATGAGTTCCAGGAATCTTCCTGGGGGTGCAGGGTGGCTGGCACATAAAGCTGACAACCATACTGCCATCTGTGAGCTGACTGTCTAGAAAATATGGCAGCCTTAATGTCTCACAACCCTATAGGCCTCCACGGCCTGTTACAGGGATAGCTTTACCTTTTTTTTTTAAATGGGCCTATTATAATAGGCCCATTTAAAAAAATGCTTTTCTTAATGAGATGCATTGCACTGTGACATGTCCAGCACGCTCCTTTGTAGGATCTACATGACGTTCGTTTGTTTAGCGTGATGACCAGTGATTGAGATGGAATGAAAAGCTAGGGGCATGGTTTTAGCATGTGTGCAGGCCTTTGCTTTTGAAAGGGCATGGCACCCCAAACAATCACTTGGTACAAAGAACAAGCAAGAAATACATCTTTTGGTACCTTCCAAATTATAGTATTACACAATTTTACTAATATAAAATCATGACTTTGGCAATATTGTAAAGCATATTTAATAATTATTAAATATGCTTTACAATATTGCCAAAGTCATGATTTTATATTAGTAAAATTGTGTAATACTATAATTTGGAAGGTACCAAAAGATGTATTTCTTGCTTGTTCTTTGTACCAAGTGATTGTTTGGGGTGCCATGCCCTTTCAAAAGCAAAGGCCTGCACACATGCTAAAACCATGCCCCTAGCTTTTCATTCCATCTCAATCACTGGTCATCACGCTAAACAAACGAACGTCATGTAGATCCTACAAAGGAGCGTGCTGGACATGTCACAGTGCAATGCATCTCATTAAGAAAAGCAGTAGTTATAAAGCATTCCTCAATCATAAACTACAGAGCAGATTACATCGTGTATGCAATCACATCATTAACAGCAATTTTACAGTACGTTTAAGAGAGAGCTGTGACCATACAAAACTGCCCCTTCTCTGCCTCTTTCTTCTTCTTTGTCTTCTTGTACTCATCTTTCCTCTTCTGATTCTCTTCCTGTATCTTCTTGTCCCTCTCCTTTCTTTCATCTTAGTCCTCTTTTTATTCTTCTCCCTGCGTTCCATGTCCTACATTTTCTTCCTTCCTTATATCTCTTTTCCCTTTTACTACTTCTCATTCTCTTTCTCCCCTGCTTCTTCTCCTTAAATATTATTGCCAGCACAATTGTGGGACTGCAGTCTGAAAAGAATTCTTTTTCATGGGGAAGAAAAAGGATAGATTGTGGTTTTGAATGTAATTCTCAGGTCAGGGTCAATTAACTCTTAACTATTTCAGATTTATAGTCTTTATTTAATGCTTCAGCAGACTAGATTAGAAACTTCACACATTACCTTGACCTCTAGAAGTCAAGTCAGAAGATAGGAGTAGTTAATCAAATTACAGACACCTGTATTGAAAAATGGAATAATTTACTGTTAAGAATACAAGTTTGCTTTTAATATCTAAAATAAAAATAAATTTTATTGTTGATGACACTGTTTTTTCTATCTTCTCACTAGATTCCTAAAGTACTGTCAAGAAAACAACAGCTCTGTTCTGGAAGTCACAGCGCATCACAGCTGAATTCCACAACAGTTCTATGCAACTAGCACAATATATGCCATGGTAAAAACTTTATAACTATGTAGGCCTTCGATTTTAATCAAGTTTATACAATATAATAACAATATTGTCAATGCTGATGGTGGGCAAAATGAATTATGGAAAGCATCTTGAGGGGCTCAGATCCCCATGTTTATAATATGCCAGGACCAGTCTGACATCATTCTATAAGTTTAACAAAAAAAAAAAAATGCTAATTATATTTACAGTTTGTACCAACATTAAAATAATTTTAGCAGACACAATCAATTTGTGTAGCTAAATGTACAATATGCTCACAACCAGGAGAAGCTGAAGTCTTTCATTTTCAATCACTCACTGGCTCTGTTCCTAAATGTAGCAATGGATTGATAAGAAGTAGTTAAATTCAAAACATGAAGTATATTTGAAAGGAAGGATTTGAGCATTAAGAAAAAATACATTGGTATCTGCCTGTGAAGTCTAGACGACCAAAATCATGGGTCCCATGTTGTCAGGTTGTATGAAGTCACGTCTGCAACATGTCAGAAAAGTAAGAAACCAAGGGAAATTCCCGTCTATAATTGTGGATATGTTTGCAATGTCTTTCTTGATGCATTCACTGCCAAGCTTCCAAACTGGGATTTTACTTGCTTGACCAATCCATTTTCAGTGAAAATTGGATTCTGAACATACATCTGAAGCAGAAATAGAAGAGAACAAGTGGAAAATTGTACATTTCCATTCTTCCTAGCTTTTACAAACTATACTTAAAGTTTCTCTGCATTTGAGTGACATGTGTAGGAGCAAGTAGCCTTTATTTACACACTGGCAAGAGCCTGTCACTTGACAGGACTGGCACTGGAACACAGTACACTTAAATTTGTCAGGTGACGGGACTAGCAGTGAATGTGTTAATACACATTAAAATATTGGGGCCCATGCTTCTGAGTCATACAGTTGAAGCATAGTAAAATGGGGTCCTTTTGATTGTACAAATTGAGAGTTAAGAGATTAAAGGAATCAACTCTGTAAATTGACTATAATTTTATACCTGCCATAATTGACTAACTTATGCCACATGAGTGTATGTATGATGCCACATATAAAGGTTTCTCTTGACACAGCCATAACTCACCTCTCTGAACGAGGCTCACACTGGTTCATAACAAACAGTATTTCCATCTTGGTCCACTTTACGAGTATCCAGGTACAGTGCATCTCTACCTATAACACGCACCCTGGGAACGGTGCAATTAAAACCCTGAACACAAGCACGCCCAAAGTTGCACATCCGACTCCAGATCTATTACTAATATTATTGCATTTACGTTCGCATGTGGAAATTTTGGGCATGTGTGTGCAGGGGTCAACAACGTGTATATCGGAACAGTGATCACAAGGAGTGGTAGCTACCCCCTCGTTTCACGGAAGGGAGCTGTGCAACAAGTGATAACCTAATCTGTGACTCATCAGCTTCCTTTGTCATCAGTTGATTCTTCAGACTCCCTGTGCACCAGAACTTGCACCAATGTGGCATCACTTGATCGTCTTCGCCGCAGTCTAGCGCGTCGCCGTTCAGGCGAGGACTTGGCCACCTTTCTGCTCATACTAGGATCTGACGGAGGCAATGAAAGCCCAGTGCCTGGTCTCACTCGGACTGGGTGCATGTCCACAGGGCCTGTAACAGCTTCGGATGCTGGTTTTCGTGGCACACTATATGTATCATTGACACTCCCTAACTGCATGGGAAACAAGGAGAGCACAGTCCCTACAGGTCTCAGCAGTCCTAACGGATGCCTGTCCAAGGCCGCAGTGCTTGTCCCTGATGATAAAGCAGTTTCTAAGCCAGACACAGTTTTCCTGTCATCAGATTCTTGGGATCTATTACTTGTCTGAGATGTATGACTAGGTCTCTCCTCCTCACACGGCATGGTGACTGCCTCTGGTGAGGCCTCTGTAACTAAAATGCTCACATCACCACTATTTAACGGCTTTTGCAATTCATCTTTCATACTGAGCGGCAGGACTAAGCTGCTGCCCTGTTTTGGTTCCTCAGTGGAAAAAGGTCCAGTGTCAGGAGATGGCTCGCTGACCATGATGCACACATTACCATTGCCATTGGCTTGCGCAGGCTCCTCATGGTCCTCTGTCTGACTCTGGTGTGCTCCTGACAGGAAGAGCAGTGGCAAATTGAGCCATGCTCCTCCTAGTTCTGACAGATCACTCGCATCTGAAGCGCGGGAGGACTTACGGGATGAAGCCCGACTGCCACGATGGACGTGAAGGAATGCTGACAGGCGGCTTTGCCATCCACCTGGACTTGACGTCTGTGTCATTTCGTCCTCCAGGTCCAGAGGCTCCCGCTCTCTCTCTCGCTTCAACCTGCCGCCAAAACAGAACAACAGAACAAGAGACTGGAAAACTGGCTTTGTGAGAAGCTAACCACAATAAGTTTTCCCTTGTGTTGTTTCTCTAGTGGTGAAAAATCTAAAATGTATTTTTATATATACAGACCATAGAAATATTCATAATAATTTAAGTCATACAGGATTTATGTGAGAACATAATTTATTCTCCTCAAATCATCAAAATGAAATTTCACTTAACTCTACATTTTTGAAGTCTGATGGCCCACCTGATATATTCTCTGAATGCTGCCTGTATGGTTCTTGCTGCTTTGTCCTGTCGTTTCCAGATGCGTGTAGATGACACAATTTCAAGCTCCTTCCTGGTTGGGAATTGTTTCTTGAATTTGATATCCATCTGATCTTGCAGCTACAAATACAAGGAATCACAGCTGGTATAACTCCTCTACAAAACTGACTTGCTCACTTATTTACACCTTAGCTTGGCTGTGCCATAGCTCAAGTGGTTAGTAGCTGGCATCCTACCGCGGTGGCCCGGGTTCAATCCCAGGTCTGGTCAAAGTGGCATTGGGCCAGGTTTTCTATGAGTACTTCGGTTTCCCTTGCCAATCTTCATTCCACCAATTGCTCCACAATCATCCTCACCTATCATCTGGGGCCAGTACAATAGGCCAGAAGTGGCCGCAGTACAAGGGACTTAATCCCACCCCACTAGCAATACCCCTTAGCTCTACAGTTCTCTAAGAATGTTCGCTTCCTTTGCCATTCACCTCTCCTAGTTACCATCTGCCTCCATCTTTCAGCTCTCATAACTCACAGAACGAAAATTAAAATTAAGTAGTGAATAAACAAGTGCTGCAATACTGACGGACAACAAATACATGGACGTTAAGTTAAACAATTGCAACAGGACGCTGAAATACAGAATCATATTCTACATCTTCCAGTCTGGCCCTTCCCACATTTTTATTACATCTGACTTACTTTAAGCAATTTTCTAATCCACCCGTGTCTGTTCTATTATAATTTCATGCCCCAACAACTCTTAACCTTCTTTTATTTTTTGCCACCATACCAGGGGTACTTATATAATTCTCTCAGTTCTTGGTTAGTTCTCAAAATCTTTGCTCAATTACTGGCCCATACACTTTCCTCAAAATATTCCTCTCCTACATATTTAACCGCTTCAGACGATGAACACAAAATTGTGGGGTCAGAAAACTAACAGGAGAGAAGAAAAATCAGGAGGAGGAAGAGGAGGAGTGGAGAATAATGGAGAGATAATATAGAAGAAAGGATAACATGAAAAGGGAGACAGGGAAATAAAACAACAATACTGAAAAAATAGAGAAGATTTTCTGCTGATGCCTTAGTCTGAAAGGCGTCAACATAACTTCATTGTTCTGAGCCATGGGTCATGTTCCACATCCATACAACACAACTGGTATGAACATCAGTGTCATCCTATGCCTCCATTGATCTTTACAGAATTACCTTTCACTATAAAATCATCTGCACAAGCTATACAGTAAGGGCATGAGCATACTGACCTTCCTGAAGTCTTCAGTCTCCTCAACGTGTCCCAGTACATATTTTACAAGTGAGTGCAAGATGTCTAGGCAGTGGATCTTGTTTCCACGGGCAATGGGCAAGTTAAAGCTCACCAGAGCTACAATGTTGGGCTTGGGGATTCCAAGAGGAGGGTCAAGGCTGGCAATGAAGTCTGATAGCTGAGTGAAGCGAATGAATTGTGTTGCATGGGGGTCATACCTGCACAGACGAAAGACAATTGTGTGAATTTAATTCTACAAGAATCTCTCATGAACTTCTGAAGCTTCCTCAGTCCAGTGGGGCTGTCTCACAAAACAATGTTGGTCCATACCCTGATCAGTTTACTTTCCTATAGAAGGGATTCAAGCCTAGGATCCCCCACAAACATCTGCTTAACAGATTAATTCACCACTGTACTGAGGTTGCAGACAGATGTCTCACAGAGCTACCATCTCCGCATCTCCCAAACGCTGGACATAATGGTCACCTCCATGTGATATGAGCTCTCAAAAATAAGAACTTCCTTTAGTGACTAACATGCTATTAAAATGTACATAATTGTAAAATTACACTTCTTGGAAAAAAGAGCTTTTTGTTACAATGGAGGAACTATGAATTTTTTGACAAATGTCTAATGAGACATAAGATTCATAAGGTTGAGAGTTACTGGTCTAGCCAATCTCTTCACAAGCATGTTGGTACTGATAATGTGATAAACTCTGCTAATGACGGGAAATTTTGGCTGGGCCACACAACTGGTGGAGGGGCCCTCAGTCACCAACATTCCCAATGTCCATGGGTCTGACTTCCTTCTGTGGCCTCAGTATGCAAGATGCTTGTAGCCTGTGTGTCAGCTTACTTTGACCAGCGGATGTAAAACATTTCCAAGTCATCCTCCACTATGCCAATCTCCTCCTCTTGGTGTGCCTGGTTGAAGTTCTCCAGTATGATAGCGATGTACATGTTGATAACAATCATGTAACTGATGATAATGAAACTAGTGAAGTATGTGATCGCCAAGAGGGGGGAGCCACAGTCGCCATTGGGCTGGTTGTTGTATGTTGGGTTACAGTTCGGTGGCTGGACCATCAAGGACTCCAACACATCATTCCATCCAGCTGATGTCATCAGCCTGCAGATAAATTAGTTTGAACTATGAACACAACGTCTGGTCTGCTTGTACTCTGAACATAAGTCATGAACGGGCACCATGCCATGTAAACACACAAGCAATGTGGAGCTGAAGCTCCATGCACATGTGCTTGTATTATCAGATGGGAGTGAGGAGTCAGCTTTTCGCATTCTGTGCCGGATTTATGTAAAGCTAAATAAGCTACAGCTTTGGACACAGCAACCTAAGGGGCCTCGAATGCTGCGAGAAAGACATCACCCATGAGACCTACATAACATTCTCTTGTATGGCTTGGGAGACAATGGCTGACTGAAGTTCACCAGATTGGAATGATGGAAATAACATGCACAGGAATAACTGTGGCAATTGAAAATAAAAATGGAGGCAGTATTGTTCCTTGCAGTGCAGCTGTGTGATTGCTGCCAAACAATATAGTTGTACAGTTACGCACACACAAACATACATTTTAATCTTACCCGCACATATTGAGATGTATACTAACATTTTTTTAATGATTTAATTACATTTATTTATAACAGAATGAAGTATTTCTTTCAAAAAAGGACAGTGCTATATTTTATTGTTAAATTATTTTTGTCATGAAGAAGTATGCTCATGTAAGCAATGTATAACTAAAAATCTTTAATGTTTATCACAAATTGTACCTATAATTCCTTTGTGTTTAATTTACAAGGGACTCATCAGTATTACAACTTGAAAAATCTTAACCTTACTATGTTTACACTCTGATCATTGTATGGCCCGAACAAAAGTGACGAGTGCTCATGGCCTAACAGTCCACGATTACCACAGAATCACTGTTGTCTTGCTGCCAAAGATAAATATTATCACTATTTCTGCAGGAAAACAAATCTTGTCCACTGCATGAAAAAACAATTTCATGTAAAGCAATTAGGTCAAAGATTGAGAAGGAACTGGGAGGATACTGTTCAAATCTCAGGGTGAGGAGTTCTGAGGTTAGGAAGTTGATGAAACTGGCTCAGGACTGTTTTCAGTGGTGGGTTTGGTATACAGACACTGAATCCTTAGTTTTTACTACCACAAAGTTTATTGATTTTTTTAAAGAAAAAGGCTGGAGGATTAGAAGTGAGTTGAACAACACATGACATGTGATACTGTCCTAAACAATATATTTTAAAACTTCTGTTCCTACCTCATAGGAAACACACTGCATTTCTTTTGCAATGAACAGCACATTAGTGCTATTTATGGAAATAATTGTTGTTTATGCTGAGGATCACCCAAAATTCATAATCGCACTGTGTGGGCAAAATGCAGAGTTTATGGGTTTTATAACCATGGAGATAAAACTGAGCTCCGACAGAAGGAACAAACCTGAAGAGGAGCTGCATGCTCCGTCCAAATGTCTCAAAGTTGACCATGTCATCCAGTGCACCCTGCTGCCTGACATGCCCAAACACAGACATGCCAATGATGGCATATATGAAAGTTATAAGGGCCAGCAATGCACCAATATTGAAGAGAGCTGGCAATGAGACCACCAACGCAAACAGCAGTTTCCGGATGCCTTTTGCTGCCTGTACAATCCAACATAGAGTGTGTCAGATACAGGAAATTTGACGAAAGATCAGAAGATGACAACATACACAAATTCTTGCAATAGTCATGCAATACTTTCATAGATAAACCACAAAATTAATGTGCACAAATATATCATTAGAATTAAATGAGGTACCATAACATTTCACAGCTCAGCAAGTGGATTCTGCTAAATTTATGATCCTAAAAATTTATTTTCTCTTACAATGATATACTGAAATGTGTTTATACTTCTTCAAAAAGGGACATATGTGGATGAGCAGATATAATCTTGTATTGTGTGTTCATTTCATATATTTGTGTAATGAATTAATAAGGAAGTAGTCACCTCACTAATATTAGTAAGCTGTTTTTAAAATGATGATGGTTTAAAGCATAAATATTCTATTCCACTCTTCATCAGTTTAAGTTATTTTGTGCCCTTGACTGATAAATACCTATCTCTGTACAGATACTGTTAAGCACAGAAATACCGTGGCAATGGGAGAATATCGTGCTGGTACACCTGTAATGTCAGCTTACTGAAAACTGTATATAGTTAATGAAATATAGATACTGAACATATAGCATTTGTGCTTTAAACCATCAATATATTTTCTTTTGTTCATCATTTCTCAGTATAACATTTCTTCAGACCTACTGACTGACATGAGACAAACTTTTTCTTTGCACTGCACATATTTCTTCTCCTAGCACTGTTTCCATTTCGTGCGGATAAATGGACAAAAGGTCTGTAACTACTTCTTCCTTCCCACAAGCCTTCTTTTTCAATTTTTTGCTTCTTCTTTTCCTGGATTGTCCCACAGGCTGATTTTTTTAATTTTAATTCTAATGCCATTTGCAGCATCCTTGTTCTGTCCATTTTTTATACACGGTAAAACAATTCTAACCATTTCTCTTGTGAATCTCTTAACAACTTTTATACTGAACCCCTTCTCTAAAACAACAGTTCACCCTATCTGCGTGTTCATGGTGGTGCTACAAACTGCTGACCAGCAGAGACAATGGTCCTATCCAGTAACATGTGAAACTAATTTCTGTGTGTTTCTCTTAGTGGGGGGTATTACAAAAATATTGCTTCGAAACTCACCTTTATGAGACGTAGTATGCGTCCAATACGAAAGACACGCACGACCCTGAGCAGAGTAGGTGATACAGGAAAGTCGATCATAATATCCTCCATCAAGATGCCAAGGATTGATGCTACAACCAGCAGGAAGTCAAACAGGTTCCATGGTACTGTGAAATAGTGGAACCTCAACCCAATGATCTTCACAATTGCCTCTGTAATCATCAGAACACACACTCTAGTGTTGAATCCTATTCACACCATCATAAGTCAGATCCATTTGAATATTATCTTTGGCCTTTCAGATAATATCTTTCCTACATGATATCCTAGGCAAAATTATGTATGCTCTTCCTTCCCAATGCATGTTTAGCTCATTCCAGTCTTCTTAATTATAATGAGCCTGATAATATAAGGTGAATGGTATAAACTGAGAAAATAACAAATATACAGAGCCAGAGCACTGCAGTAAAGGCATTCAGATGGTGGAATTTTGCCCTTTCAAAAATTATAAAAATTATCATTGCTACAGATCATAAATTTGCTCATATGGAAAATGAGGATAAGGATTAATTTCTTTTAAATGCAAAATGCAAAGCAACAACAAATACAGCCAAAACAATATGTTTTTAAAATAAATAATTAGTTGTTAAGGAATTCGGATCATGTATGTGTGTGTGTTGGCTGCCAGCATGGCTGCTATTCCTATCTTATTTCAGATTATGTAGTGTATTACCTTCATTTAAGATATCCGGAGAGACCATTTAATGCAAGTGCACACAGCAAACCTAAAGGAGCACAGAAAATGAACTTTTTGTTGTGATGGGTAAAAATGTGTGTTTTTATTACAACCATGGAATGAAAGAATTCCTATAGGACCTCATCTCCAATGAGAGAAATGAAAAAACAGGCTTTGTAATACACAATTTCATAATACAGACAAATTTCCAAGGACACCTCATGTGCAACATGGAGGGATGCTGCATTTCATTTTCTTGAATACAAATTTCCCAGCAGCCATGTACTGATACAGGAAGACAGGTTTATCTTTTGAGTACTTCAGCTGTCTCTGCCAGCCATGATGTCACAGATGCTCCACATCCTTAAGCCACTACTGCCTCTGAGATGTGCTACAGGCCAGCCAGCCAGAATTTCATCACAGTATTTGCATGTGATGCAGCTTCACTTAAGACTATGCTTGTAGGAGGTCTCAGAGTGTAAGAGTTAATTTTAACTCCCATGGGTTAATAAGAGGAAGCATCCTAAAACAAGAATCCACCCTTTCAAGGTTTTAAGCCACAACTGTGCTGACTGGAATGTTTAAGAAAAAGGAGGAGATAATGAGGAGGTGAGGAGAGGAAAAGAAGATGAAGAGGAAGAATACAGAGAAGGAGGGGTAATATAAGGAGAAGCTGAAGAAGCAGAAGAATAAAAAGAAGAATGAAAAAAAGGAGGAACAAAATAGAAAAAAAAAGGGTAAGGAAAGAAGCTGATGAGGAAAAGAAAAGGGGTAAGAAATGAAGAAGATGGAATGAGAGTGGAAATAGAAAGGGGAACACAAAGGACAAAGAGGAAATGAAGGGGACAGAAGAAGAGACAAATGAAGAGAAGAAAGGAAGGAAAAGAAACAATGGGCTTAAAAGAATTTTTTGTACCATCTTCATTGCTGCATTGATCAGAAGAAATATCATTATGCTAAATAGTGACTTCTTCAGGATGACTTGGATCTGAAAGCATTAGTGATGGATGTCACTGATCCAAATGAGCACCAGAACACTTTTGTGACTTGAGGCGAAGGGAAAGTGATGGACTTACCCAACCCGAACACTGTAGTGAAGAATGCATTGCTCACTTCAAGTACAAAGAAGATAGCATGAGGCTGGTTGTAATGCTCAATGCCCATTGTCAGCATGTTGAGGAATATCAGGACAAAGATTGCAATTTCAAACCTGCAAGAAGACAGTGATGGGGGTTTATCAACTGTGTGAACTGAACATACACCATTCAGAGAGTCATAAATCTGAGGTTCTTGTGACAATGACTATGAAGATTACCATCTTCTGGGATGTGACACTGGGTGGTACGGTAGATGGTAACCAACATTTTGGATGAGGCTGTTGCCTTACTCTTCTACCCTGAAGCAAGAAGCAGGTTTCATCAAAAGGTTGGTAAATATCTACCAGATCACAAGGCGTCACAACCCAGCAGACAGTAATTTTCATAGTCAGTGCCATGAGAACAACAAATTTCGCTTGAAAACGAAGTTTTGTGCTGTACACACCACAACCCTTTGAAGAACAGTGATTACCAGGGCCCGGATTTTGATGACCTGAAAATATTTAAAAAAATGATCAGAAAAATCCAGAAAAATGACCTAAAAGAGAAAGAGAAAGAACACTTCGCTTCCATATTATTCGCATTTCAGAAAACATATGAAGAAAAATTCCCTAAAATGGCCAAAAATGACAAAAATACCCTTAAAACTCGAAAAAAATACCAAAAAAATTACTCAAAAAATGAAAAAAAAAATACCTTAAACCTAAAAATGTCAAAAAAAAAAAAATACATATAAAATTTACATTTCTATAACCAGCAGCTCATATCCGAGATTTATATATTTAAGAGCATCGCACAGGATACAAGGTAAAAAAGATGACATGTCATCAAAATCCGGGCCCTGGTGAGTACTATATATACCACAAGTTTCAACGTTCAAAATTTGTGTGGAAGGAAAGAAGATAAGGGAGTAAGAAGAAGAGAGGAAGGAGAAGGAAGAGAATAAGAGACAGAAAGAGGATGAATAGGAGATGGCAGAGGGCAAAAATTACAAGGGGAAATATGAGAAGAGTTAAGAAAAAGAAAACACTTCCTTCTGATGCCTTGTGTCTGAAAGTGTTAGGTGAATTTCAGGCTTTGTCACATTTATGCAAAAGACATCAAATATCACAGTTAACATGAACATAAGAAAGTCTCATGCTGATAGAAGTAGGTATTCATGTGCAAGAACTGAGGAAAATACAGAAACACATTCAGACATATTCTTAAGTTTGTAACACACACCTTCTGGAATTTGACAGGTCATAGAACATTGCCAGCACCTGGTTCATGGGCCGCTTTATCACCTTCTGTGGCTTCTTCCTGCCGAGCTTTTTCATGGCTGTGTAATAGTGTTTCTGGCTCTCCGTGAGGAACATTTCCAGCACCCCACCTTCATACTGCAAGCACACAAAGACACTCTGCAGTTACAAACGGTCCCTGGTCTTATGATTCAACGTTTCAGTTACATTAGCCCAAAAATAAGGCAAGGTTCTTTTCAATTACTGCTTCCGAAAAAAGGCAGGTCATCTTATTTTCAGGCCCTTAAAATATATATATATATATATATATATATGTGTGTGTGTGTGTGTGTGTGTGTAGAAGATGATTATGAGGAATTCTGACTGCTAAATCTAATGATATGTGTGAAAATACATAGAATTATATTTAAGGTGTTAGTTTCTGAATCTATTATTGCTTCATAGTGTAGTTCTTATTTTTTTTTCCTTTTTACAACTCTCAGAACTAAATGACATATTCAGTTCTGTCAACAAAATTTTGTATCTGATCTTCAGATTGCAGAAATAGGATGTTGCTTTATATTAGGATTATACAGTTACATAGAAGCTTGTATTTTGTTTACATGTATTTTTTCATGGTTTTTGTTCTTATCAGTACCTCATACTACTGTATATAGCACTGAACGTTAAGATGACTGATGAATAACGGAAAGCATCTGTGTGGGAGGTGGTTGTGGCCTAGTATGACTTAATATCCTGGGATATGCCTGGAAGGGCTCTGGAAAACCAATGGAAACTCTGTGAGAATAGCGAAACTTCATGTCAGGATCTGAACCAGGCCCCTCTGAATACAAATCAGAAGTGTTGTCATCACTTAAGCAGACTTACTCAGTGGTAGCCTACGAATATGTGTTCATAACTGGCATACTGACTGGCACTTGTGAGGATACGGGTTCTCATTGAGGTGATTATGGTCTTTTATTGCATGACACTGTACAGTTACCTTAATAGAAATCTATGCTTTGGACACAACTTGCAGAAATTAAAGAAAAACTTGCATACAGAATTACTTGGCTTTTGGACTTTTTCTATCGTCCAGAATTTTAGGTAATAGAGAACATGACGTTTTGGAAACTGGATCTGTTTCCGTCTTCAGGTGAGAAAGGAAGACACCTCCTCAGTTAGCTCTTCCCAACTGAGTAGGTGTCTCACTTTCTCACCTGAAGACGGAAACAGATCCAGTTTCTGAAATGTCGTGTCCTCTATTACCTAAAATTCCAGATAATGTAAGAAGTCCAAAACTCCAGTAATTCTGTGTCATCTATCATTGTCAGAACCTTTAGAAAAAACTTGCATGCCTGTTGTATTGTTATTTTCATTAAAATAATATGAAGGGCAATAAAGTAAAACTGGAGGACAATACAGAAAAGCTGAAGCACAGCAAAGTAACAAAATACAAACCTTTTTCTTGAGCATATTGAAGTTGTCAATGATGACACCAATGAAGAGATTAAGCGTGAAGAATGAGCCACACACAATGAAGACGACAAAGTACAAGTAAGCGTAGAGATTTGCTTCCCTCTGTGGCTGCAGGTTCACCCCTCGTGCATCTACTGCATCAGACATCACTTCCATCCAGCCCTCGAATGTAGCCTGTATGACGACATCTTTTTAATTCATGGGACCAAATAATGTTATAGCAGACACTGTGGTCAGGGATGATAACATGAATATGAAGCGATCAACGTACGCCTGTTGAGACCCAGTAATGTTATTCCACAGGCAGGACAAAGCACAGATGAAGCAAGTGGCCATTTAGCATGGCACGATTTCATTGGCAGCATATTTCAAACACCACTTTTGTTCTGCTTCCTGTTAAATAAAAATTAATTTCTGCTCCTATTTTTTCTCATATTATGATCATTAATTTGTAGTAATCCATGTATTTAACATAAATACAACTTTTTATGTATCATGATACCAATGTTGGTTTTAGTCACAGTGTCTGAACATTTCACATTATTTACTGTGAAAAGGTTCTGAGAAATGTGCAGAGTTTTGAAAAGGGGGGGGGATGAGGGACATAATTTCTCATCACCTGAGCAGCATTTCAAAACAAGAAGCACCAGATTTTAGACATATCTTGCTTCAAAAGAAAAATCTTCTCTTTTCTAGCACCACTTTCTTATGAAGACACCATGACTGCTGCCATGCAGGGCTCAACATTACATTCAAAACCCCTCTCCTGAATACCTACCTTTCATGTATGGTAATATTAATTTCTCTCTTTTGTATGCTATGGGCAAAGAAAATTTTAGTATGTACATTGTGAGGTGTAAGTTGTTTGTTGATCATGGCTGTTTCTATTGGCAGAATGCTGACATGAATAATTTTCTCACACTTTATACATAAGTTGATTAACCTCATTTGAAATTTCTAATTTTATTCGTTAGAGATTTAAGACAGTGGATCAGTTTGGGCAGTATTCAAGGACACACAGCAAAGTACTGGATGGAGAAGTCTGAGGACACTCAGTAGTGACTGATAAATTACAAAATTATTTGCTATAGCACCATGGAATAGATACTGACCAAAGTTGGAGGGCACTGTCGACAATGACTGGTCAAGCTTAACAGTGCCAAAGGGGATCAGACATTGTTGACAATGACCGGTTGATCTTACTACATGTTACACATACACTTTACTCTGTAGATGTGTATGTGTGTCAATAGTTTGACTATAAAGGTTGAATCAAAATGAATCGAACTGAACTGATTCTGTCACACTGCCTGATATCTGGTTTCAGCTGTAACATATGTACTCACCACTTGAAACAGGGCTAAGTACGCATTCCCCACATTATCAAATGTGATTTTTGAATTCACCCAAGAATAATTTTTACGTTTGCATTCATCTACATCATCCACATCCTGAAACATTAAGATACAAATGTAATTACACTTTCGTTTGTACAACATGAGTTCATGGTTTGAACAAAGTTAAGCATCCCTATTAACTGCCTACAGTCTACATGCAGAAGCCAGTGAAAGAACTACATTTTTTAAGAGTAATCTCATCACAGCAGTTGGAAGTGTGGGACAGTGCATAACAGACAACTCCCGCAGTGCACCGAAAACAGACAATATTTATACATCACTTGCAGCCTGGCTCTCTAGACACAAACACAAGCGCTACCTAATCAGCGTTCATAATCGCACTTCCATTGCCAACTGGTCCACGAGCTGCCTAGCGTCATAAGTATAAAGTTGTAGGCCTTGTACATGCCAGAATCAGGTCATCAGGTTAATGTGTTTGGGTCTGTTGGGGCAGATTGAGATCAAAATCATTACAGTTCTCATAGAGGTTGAAGCTAAACAGGTTACATTCAGCTCAGTTTATGTTCAGCTGATCGGTCTGTCTTCACAGAGTTGTAGAGTGATGGCAGACAGTATGAGTCCAATTGATTGGTTACTCATCAAATGATTATTATATCAGTGGGAGGGTGGGTGAGTTGATGGAATGACTATTGGTGAATTGACACTGGCTGAGAGATCGATTATGATCATTCATCTGGGTTGTGTGGTGATTATCAGTTAGCCTTTAGCTTGTGGTTGTAGTTTGGGAGTGTGTGTTTAGTCAATGACTGAAGAACAGACCTTTTTTTTATTGCTAGTGGGGTGGGACTAAGTCCCTTGTACTGTGGCACTTCTGGCCTATTGTACCAGCCTCAGATGTGAGGTGAGGGTGATTGTGGAGCAATTGGTGGAATGAAGATTGGCAGGGGAAACCGAAGTACTTGGATAAACCTGCCCCAGCGCCACTTTGTCCACCAGAAATCCCACTTGACCAGACCAGGGATCGAACCCGGGCTGCCGCGGTGGAAAGCCAGCGACTAAATGCTTGCGCTATGGCGCAGCCCTAAGAACAGATTTAGTGCTAAAAAAAAAGAGGAACTTAGACAGTGATTGTGGGAAAAAATAAATCAATTCATTGACAGTATTATACCAAAGTTGGTAGTGGTTCAGTGAGTGTCATGCCATGAAAGGAGTGTCCAGCGGTATTCTTCAGACATGCTTCCCGCTCGTCGGTGATACCAGTTTTAGGTGCAACGAACATTTGTTGTTGTAGATTCAAATGGTTGTCTCAGTGAACATCGACATCCCACAGAAGAAATGTTATTGAAAATGAAATATATAAAAAGGGAAATGATAAATATATTCATATTTATGTTTAATTTAAGAAGAAAAGGAAATTAATTTTAATATCCACCTGTAATTGTCTGCTTACTGTCAACAGATTTAAAGATCAAAGTGTACAATGCTATAATTTTATCTCGTTGTTAATATGATTTTTATATTAAATAGACAGGAGAAACCATTTGAAATTTATACCCAACACAGAAGGACTTACTAGGGGAAGGAGAATATTTATATAAGAAAAAACATAATGATTTATATTATTTAGCTAATTTTTGTAAAATCACTGATGACAAGAGACTGAAATGGCCTGAGCATGTAGCATGTATGTAAGTAAGTAAGTAAGTAAGTAAGTAAAAGTAAAGGTATCCCCGTAACAGGCCATGGAGGCCCATAGGGTTGTATGATGTTGAGGCTCCCACATTTTCTAGACAATCGGCTCACAGATGGCAGTGAGGTTGTCAGCCTTATGTGCTGGCCACCCTTCACCCTTAGGAATATTCCTGGTACTCATTTCTGTTAGGCCGAGTTGACTCCAGGGCCATAGTGTGGCTGGAAGGATTAGGTCAATTGAAAAAATCTACCTCATTGGGATTCGGTCCTGCGACCTTCCGGCTTGCAGCACAGCGCTTGAACCAACTATGCTACCGCGTGCCCCCTATAGCATATATGAGATACATGAAATTCACAAATAATTTTGCAGGACAGTTTATGCATGAGGTTACTGGGAAGGCGAAGGAAGATTATATTAAACTTCTGCACTTAACATTCTATTATTATCAGACAAATTAATTATTAATTTAAATTCCCTTTGTCAGACTAAATTTTAGTGAATTACATATATCAGAAACATTAAAGTATATGATGTTAAGAAGGATCAAGCAGTATACTGAGCAAACTGGTTCAAGAAATTAAACTTAGCATGTATTTCAGAAGTGTCCTATTTGAATCTCAGCCAGGACACCAAATATCCTGAGGCTTCTCATGTGTTTACTCAGTTCCACAAGGAATATGCTGAGAGTCTATCTTAAATTAAGTCACAACTACTTTATTCCACATTATTTGTAACTAATTATTAACTGTCACCTAATCATTTGATGCTATACTGTTTGAGTTGCTGACAGCATCATCAAGTAAACTAAAAATAAATAAAATCAAGTTGGACATCAGGGAAATGGATTGTGAAACTGTGTGGGGGTCTTTGTGAGTTAATTTACAATGTTGTCAGTATGCAGACTGTACAGTGTTGAATGGTAGGATGACTCATGAATTGGAAAGGATAAGGAAGGAAGTGGTCACAGCCCGATTGAGGTATGATCTTTGCATTTGCCTGGAGGAACTGGAAAAATAGCACACAAGAATCCTCAGTCAGGCCAGTCAGTGTCCTGGCCATGATTTGTATTGGGGTCCTCTCATTATATGAGCCTAGACTGTTATTGTTATGCCAACCCAGCTGGTTTCTGAGACTGTGCTTTTGTTATACTGGTAGAGAACTCATCAGTAAACTCACAATGACAGGCAGCAGGTTTCCTTCCTCATTCACACATTTGAAGAACTTGCCGCCGAAGAACTGAACACCCATGATGGAAAATATGAGCCAGAAGACAAGACACACGAGAAGCACATTGAAGATAGAGGGGATGGCATACATGAGTGCATTCACAACTATCTGAAATACAGAGTACATCGCTGTCATAATGCTAACCCCACCATGGCCTTATTTTCAGAATCCTATTGGTCTGCTTATAAGTTTATGTTGGTCTCCGGCCTTTGACAGAAGGCAGGTTAGATGCAAACACAGTACATTCCTGATTAGCAGCACAATGAATATGTTAAACTGGTTACAATGTATGGAAATGAAACATGGTCAGCAGCCACAACAAATAAACTTATGTTAAACATGCGAGAAAGGGAATTCTTGAGGAAAGTGTGTAGGCCAGTAACTGACCAAGGGTTTGGAGAATCATAACTTACCAAGAACTGAGGAAATTATATAATATTCCTGATACTGTAACATACTGAAAGGAGATTGTTTGAGTGGTGGCAGGGGGTTGACTGGAATGGATTGAACAAGGGTGGACGAGAAGATGACTGAAAGTAAGCCAGAAGGTAAAAGAAATGTGGGAAGAACAAGATTGTGGTTGGATGATGTGGAGAATGACTCACAAGAGATGAAAATGAAGGAATAGATTAAAGAAAGTAAGTAACAGAGAAGGATGGGAATCTGTTGTGAAGGAGGTCAAGGCTTTTCAAGGATTGGGGAGACGAGGTGTAAATAATAAGGTCCTTAATACAGTGAATCTGAGAATGCTCGTACCTAGTTGAAAAATTATTTTTGGAGACAGTCATAAATGTGAATCATACAACGTCAATATTATTATTCTATGGCTTTGAATTGTAAATATGTTAAAGATTGTTGTTACAACTGCTGTTTTATGTATGTGAAGCACTTACTTGGGTTTTCGGACTTTATCCATCATCCTGGTTTTAAGATAACTAAGAAAAACACGGCGTTTCAGAAACTGGATCTGTTTCCATCCTCAGGTGATCAGGTGGATTGGGTCCAGTGATTGAGGCTAGCTCTTTCTAAAGGACCCAACAGAATAGGTGTTTTCCCTCACCTGAGGATGGAAACAGATCCAGTTTCCGAAACGCCATGTTTTTTCTTAGTTATCTTAAAACGAGGACGATGGATAAAGTCTGAAAACCCAATATCTCTGTGTGTTATACCCCACTGTCAGAATCCTATAGTAACTATAAGAACTCACTTATCTACAAATTATGTTGACATTAAATTTGATGGACATAGCCTCAAAGTTATCCAATGCTTCTTTATTTGTAATTTTTAAATCTTTCTGAGAAAGGGTACTGTGAATACATTAAAGTTAATTTAGCATAAAGTTCTTAGGTTACTCAGACTTATTCTCTGCTACTACTCTTCACTAATCACAAAAACTTTATCAATGACAGGTTCATTCATTGTAAACTGATACTATCTGATCATTTAATTTTCATACCTTGGCCACACTGTATATTCATATGTCAGAAACAGTAGCATCAGATGGAGGAGAGTGGAGAGCTCTATGCGCCAGGTACTTTATCTCTTTCATTCATTCATTCATTTATTCAGCATTCCATAAATCCTTACATGGTTAAACACCAATGGATATAGAAATAGTCAACATGAGTAAACATGATCACATACTGCTCTGGGGTAAGAGCCTCCAATACTCAAGGCACAGAAGGACTGGTAGACCACAGAACAGGTCTGGATGCAGGGAGTCAAATTCCGGTTCCTCAGTTGTCTAGCCCAGCGTTGGCCAACCTAATACATCTCGAGGGCCAAATTTAGTTTATAGAACACCATCAGGGGCCAGATACGGTGTTTCTTTCAGAAGAGTGGTCGGGGAGTATTGCCCCCCAAACTGAATCAGTCACAACCCGTATAAAAACAGTGCATTTAAACCTATGTATTTAAATTTTACGTTGCACCAATAATATTAAGCCGATATTGAAAATTTCACCAATCGATTTTATTGCCTTCTATCACTTCTACCCCCAGAGCATTTTTTCTTAAAGAAACACTGGCCAGATCATGTCTTATGTTTAGTTTTATATATGCCGGGGGAAAATGCAATTATAATTTAAGAAAGAAAAATAAAATGCCTTGAAATGTGCAATTACTTACCATAAAACAGCACAAATTCCTCTTTCAGCAGGGATGAGCACAAAAGACTTTCAATCATAGTTTTTATGGTCTAATGATTATACCTAAATCCTCATATACACACTGTTTTAATGAGAGCACTGTGGTTTCATAAAACTGGAAACCAATGATATAAAATCCACTTCTAATTGTGAGGTTGCCACTCGAAGAATATGTGATAACACGACATCTGAAAGTCTGTTCCTGTTCTTAGACTTTACATGCTTCAGCGATGAAAACGCTGTCTCGCATATGTAAGTACTTGCAAAAACAGAGCAAAGTTTGAGAGCCCAATTTCGTAACAGTGGGTAACGTTCTGGTGAAAGCAGTTTCCAAAAGTCAATTCCAGTAACCTGAGATGTGTTTAAGGATGGGTCACATTGAAGTTCACAAAGCTCTAATTGCAGATGACCTGGCTGAGATTCTATATCACAATGTATAGGATTACTGAATAAAGAAATATCAGGTCGAAAGCTTTCAAAATCGTTAAATCGTCGGTCGAACTCTGAAGACAAATCTTCAATAATTTCAGTGTAGTCCCTAAACTCCAAGCCTTCTTCTTCTTCTGAGAGTTTCCGACAGCAAGGGAAATGTAGAAGGTTATTTTTGTCCAATGCAGACTTAAATAAATGTAGCTTTTTACGGAAACTGTCAACAAAGCCAACCATCTGACATATTGTCTGCTTCTTGCCTTGCAATTGCAGATTCAGGACATTCAAGTGTTGAGTGATATCAGTGAGAAAGGCCAAGTTTCTCAAGAATTCGACGTCTTCGAGATCATTCTGCAGTTCAGCAGAATTCGTAACCTCTTCTCTTAGGAATGTTGCTATTTCATGACGGAGTTCAAAGAACCGTACCAGACATTTCCCACGGCTTAACCATCTTACTTCAGTGTGCAGAAGCAGGTCCCCGTAAGCAGAATCCATTTCTTCCAAGAGGGTCAGAAATTTTCTGTGAGTGAGTGATCGATTTCCTCCTCTGATCAAATTAGTAATTTTTGTGACAGTAGCCATGGTGGTAGACAGTTTAATTGATTTGGCACATAGAGCCTCCTGATGTATAATACAATGCAAGGTAGGTACAGTAATTTGATTCTGTCTTAAAAATCCAACAAAACCGCTTATTGTCCCTGTCATTGATTTAGCGCCATCTGTTACTATGGAGGACAATTTTTCAAAACCACCGAATTCCTCCACTGCACTCTTAACAGCGTTAAAAATATCGACACCTCTAGTTGTGCTGTGTAAAGAGCACACTTTTAACAACTCTTCGAAAATTGTAAAATCTTCCTTAATTGCACGAACAAATATCAGCAACTGATTAGTATCCGAAACATCTGTGCTTTCGTCGAGAGCAATTGAGAAATAGGAACAATTAGCGATAATGTCTTTCACATTATTAGATATCTGGTTGCTAATATCTTCCAGCCTCCTAGTAACAGTCTGTTTTGAAAGGGGCACTGTTTGAAATTTGTTTCCTACCTTATTTTCATTGAAAGCTTCTGCCATCTTTATCGCACAGTTCTTAATTAATTCACCATCACTTAACGCTTTTTTAGCTTTCATTAATTCATATGTCACGAAATAAGAAGCCAGCAAAGCTTCTTCTTGTTGTTTTGTTTCATTGGTAAAAAGAGATTTCTGCTGGAAAAGTTTTTTCTTTAACTGATCGCAGACTACTTTCCTTGATTCACAAGAGTGTTTTCCGAACTTCTGTTTATGATTTGTCATGTAATGCCTCTTTAGGTTGTACTCCTTTAAAACTGCTAGCACTTGAAAACATACTAAACACTGTGGCTTGTGGTCTTTATTTAATATAAAAAAATAGTCATGTTCCCACTCAGATTTGAACGCCCTATTTTCGCTATCAACTTTTCTCAATTTACTATTTGACATGCTGTATCACTCACAATAACTTCAAACACAATTTTAATTTAAAAACAGTTCTACACTCACACTCCGTAATCACACTTCACTTTCTAAAATCGCACTAACTGGGAGACATTTCTGCTAAAACTGGCACTTAACAAAGGCCAGGATGCCGAGGGAAACGGTAAACATCCCATCGCCCCGAGCAAGCTGGGAATGGTTATTATTTTGAAGGTGTCATAAATCCTTCACCACTGCGGTCTTCCCTTCAGTGTCATCTCCCTACAGAAGTAGGGTTGGGGAACTTTGAATTTCCATGACATGAACAGTTATTAGAAAACCGTTCGAACTGTCCAACTCAGTAAGAACATATACAGTCAATTGCAAAATGCTGTAAGCTAATGAAACGTCCTATTAAAAACTGAATTCTATGCCAATACAGCTGTGAAGTTAAGATTTTTGAAAATAAACCTGAGACTTGGCAGGGGGCCGGACTAAATCAAGTCGCGGGCCGGATACGGCCCGCGGGCCGCCAGTTGGCCATCGCTGGTCTAGCCCATAGCACAGTTGCCTTACTGACTGAGCTATCTCAGTTCCCTATATGAAACACTGCAGGCAACATTTCATTTTATGGTGTTCTGCTACTTTGGCCATAGGAAAGGGCGAGACCGAGAGATGTACATGCAGACAAAGGAGACCATATGTTGCTCAGCCCTGTCTCACAGAAAAATAAAGTGTAGTAAGGAGTGCAAAGAAATTATCTACTCGTAGATTATTATAAGTTTGAAAAACTGAGACAAATGGGTGGAATGAATGCACTCACCCTCATGCCTTGCCACCTGGATATGGCTCTAAGGGGCCTCAACGCTCGCAGAGTCCGAAGAGATCTCAGCACTTTCAGGTTCTCATTTTCCTCAATAAGCAAACTAAATATAGAAACCTAAACAAAGTAAGTCAAACATGAGACATGCTCTTGAAACATGAACCTACTTCAGATTATAGTGTTTTAGGACATGACACTATGCAGTTTAGTAGACAGGCAATAGCATTCTGGAGGGAACTTCTGCCTACATCAATCCCTGGGATAGGATAATTTTTATATTTAATTGTTCCAGCAGAGTGGGTCTCATACTTGGACCCAGTGATGGCAGCAGAACCATCTTCTAAAGTGTTGCATGTGTTTACCCAAAATGAGATCATGGAGGTTGTCTAAAATATGTGTCAGTTCAACTGAGGCAGAATGTTCCTCCAAAATGTTGGTACACATCTACCAGACAAGACACTGTCATCACTCTGGAAACCTCAATGAATATTGCACTGGCTGTGAAGTTTTACAGCAGCTGCTGGATAGGCAACAACAGTCCCAGCAATATAATTCCTTATTTTCAGAGAGACAAAAACGGGTATACATTTTGCTACATATTTTAGAAATCATGTACTTACATGACAGCAATACCTGAAAAATAAAATACACTTTTAAAATTTTAACTGTCAGTTCATTGTAATGAAAGCTTCATGATGCATCTGTTTGTTGTAATGACAGTTCTCTGTGTAAACATTTATTCTTGTTTAAATCAATTACGATGACAGCCCTTTCTACATGCACAGCTGTGCAAGTCATGTCACTGAGGGAGATGATGAAGGAATATAAGTTTAAAAGGAAAGAGATGAGGCACCAGGGAGAGAAGAGAAACAGGAAAAGAAAAGAAAACTGTAGTTGCAGCAGCAGTAGATAAGAATAAAAATTGGAGGATACAAAAAACAAATAACAGCTTAAAATGGAGGGTAAGGAGATGGAGGAAAGGAAATGATGAAGAAGGAAGAACAGAAAAACAATAAGAAGGTGGAAGAGGTCCTAACCTGGGGAAAGCCTGGCATTTATGTTCTCCATTGGTTTTATGTTAGACTGAGTTCAGGTGAACTTTGGAGATCTCTTCTGACTACTTAGAAAGGAACCCGTGTTTTGACTTTTCTGCACAGATGATTGAACCTGGTGAGACCAGATAAAGTAAAATGAAATTGGACCTCAGAGGGTTAGGAGAAAAGAAAAAAAGGATGAAAAGGCGATGAAAATATCTAAAAGTGATGAAGTTTGAGAAAGGAAATGGAAAAATAAGAAAATAATTTGGGGTCTGAAAGGGACAGAAATTTCTCAGGATTAATGAGTTTCTATACTTTGTCCATCAGCTGGTATTCTGAAAGAACATGGCTGGACCTGTGACTGAGTGACCAAGATCAGCTATTATTAGAAGATCCACCTAAGCTGGTTATGCCCCATCCTTTATCTGAGGACAGAATATGAACAAGTTTCTGAAATACTGTGTTCATACAGAATGTTGGATTATGGACAAAGTTCAGAAACTTAATAATTCCAGCTGCAATGAACAATCTTCAGAGCTGCATTGGATAGAAACTTTTATATTTCTAAATTTTCCTGCAGTTCAAAAATAACAGTTAAAAAGTAAGAGGAATTTCTGAATGCATCTCTCTACGTTCACTTTGTGTGAGTGCACATAATGATCGGCTATTGACTTCTGCTGCTACTTACAAACACAATGATGAAATCGAGTATTGTCCAGAAGCTGGTGAAGTACCTCCAGAAGCCAAGGGCAAGCCACTTGAGCATCATCTCTACACTGAAGAGGGCGCAGAACCCCAAATTGGTCCAGTACAGAATGTTTTTGAGCACAATATTCTCATCAAGGTAGATGTCCTCAAAACAGAGGGTGATGCTTGAGGCAAAAATAAGGACAAGGATGAACCACTCGAACACTGGCGTGTCCACTACAGACAAAACCTGAGTCCGAATATGGGTCCAGCGCTGGCCACAGGGCGTGGTCAGGTACTGGTCACAGCAGACACTCCTGTGAACAGGAAACAGTAGAGAATTGCCAGATAACAGTCTACTGACATGACTGGATAACATGACAATATCATACTGACATACAGGAGTTCCAGGCAACATCCTACAGACATGATAAGATTGTGTGATTATAATACCCCGAACAATCCTACATGTCTGAATACAATCATCATCATCATCATCATTGGCATGGCAGTCCTATGTGAGTCCTGGCCTTCCTCAGGATTGCTCGCCATTCTTCTCCATTCGATGCTACATTCCTCCAGTTCTTTACACCCAAAATTCTTATGTCCTGCCACACATATTCTTCCCATCTTACTGAATACAATTCATCATTCTCATTTGTCTCTCAGGAAAATAAAAAGGAAACCGGTCAACCGCAACACTAAGATGATGAGCAGATAAACTGACAAAAACGTGCCTAAATTGTTCACAGGAAATATCTGGTTTGAATGTTGGCCAGAGAACCAGATAACTTGAACAAGATTTCTGTCTTCTGGCATATAACACTTTTCAGGAAAACATGTCGTCTCCATTTTCAACTTACTTCTACTCGAGGCTATGCCACAACTCGGTCAGTTAGTTGCCAGCTTCCAACCCTGGCAGCCTGTGTTAGACCCCAGGTCAGGTAATGTGGGATTTGCGGTGGATAAAGAGGCATTGGGGCAGGTTTTCTTCAAGTATTTCAGTTTCCCCTGTCAATTCTCCACACTCATCTGTCATTCAGGACTGGTACAGTAGGCCAATTAGTGGCCGATGTACCAAATGGACTCTGTCTCACCTCACCCCATGGAGGGGGGACTACTCTTCTACCCAGTATAGCACTAAAAGTGTGGCCATGAACATTCAATCCCCATTTCCTTTACAGTAGTTCCACATCTTGCTGAATCTACATTGCTTCTAAAGTGGATACAGTGCTATTAAGTAACACAGAGCCAATAAATTTTTTCTGATATAAAGTCACAGCACTGATGCCACTTACCTTTGATAACAGTGCTGTGGAAAGCAGTCCTGGGGCACTTTCACAGATTTGTTGCGGCCAAACCCAGGGAAGCTGCCCATTCCATCCACATAGTGGCCCTGAGAATCCCTCCGGCCTCCAACTGTTAGTTCATCAACATATGAAGCCAGGGCTTGCCAGGGCTGCTTTGAGGTTTTCGTGGTGTCACTGTGCTTTTCTGGCAGCATTGTCTCTGTCTCTTCTGGAGGCTTGTCTAGTACCTCCAGCTCTATACTTTCCTCAGCATTAGTCTCATCTGGAAAGCCATACAAAAGTTACTTACAATCCCCATGCTCAGAACTTGACAGAGGCCCCTTTACTTTCTCCACTAATTTACTGAGGAGATAATTAAGGTCTTCTCTCTCTCTCTCTCTTCTCTTCTGCATGGCTCTACAGCTCTTTGGACCTTGGTCATTTTTTCAGTTTCTTAATCCTACACACAGTTGGAAGGCCTCCTTGGACAGGGGATCAGCCCATCGCAAGGCTGCTAACTATACACAGAGCAACACAAACAAAGAATAAAAGCACATGTATTGAGAGGGATTCGAAACCAAAATCTCAGTGTTCATGCCCTAGATCGCCAGGCCAGTGTTATCAGCAGATAGTTAAGGTCTACTAGAAGAAATGTTTTCAAAGCAAGGGATCTATTACTGAGTAAATTTTAAAAAAGAACGTGAATCCATAGACATATCAATATGACCGATATGCAGTAACGGTGCTTGCAAATTACACTTCTGTAAACTCTAGTTCATCAATTTTTCACTTTCTTGTGGCTTTATTTTGTGATGCTTTCTGTGTCTGTACTACAGTGGTGAATGGCAGGATGATTCATAACTTATGAATTGGAATTGATTCGGAAGGAAGTGGTTATGGCATTCCTGTGTGATTGTGAGGCCATAGCTTATTTAAGATTTTGTCACTTGGGTCAGTTTTTATGGAACCAAGTGACTTTTATGATGCCCCCACAAGCAGGGTCCTGCACTTTACTAAAAGTGTAGGATTAATAAGGGGCTAATCCAAGGGGAAGGACAATAGATCATTGAAGGTCACAGTGCAGTGGCCGGTTTTTATGGCCCATCCTTTACATAAAACTTCAAGTGGTCACAGCATAATTGAAATACTATCCTAGTATTTACTTAAAGGAACTGAAGAAAACCATGACAAACCTCAGTCATGGTAGCCAGCGTGCTGTTCAGGATTCAAACCAAGTGACTCCAGAATACAAGTCTAGAGAATTTCTGCTATGCCAGCCTGCAGAGATTCAGTTTTTAACTGACCATCTGTTCTTCAGTGTTGTTAGCACTGACTGGCCAATACTGCCAAACACTGGCAGAGGAGACTGGACATTCTTGACCGTGCTCAGCCACTCATTACATTGCCTGAGATGTGTGGTCACTAGCAATGATGCCTAATTTTGGCCTTGGAGCATAACATTAACAACATCAAAGGTTCTGCCTCTGACATTCTATGCATAACACATGCAGTTCTAAAACACTAGGAGCACAGTATGGTGTAATGGCAGTGAAGGAGAATCTCACCTTTGCTTTCCGTCTGCTGAGTGCTGAGGGACACCTGTTTGCCCACCAAAGGCCTCAGCATGCTGTCCTCCTGGTCCGATGACGGTTCTTTCCTTGTGATGTCCTCACGAGATGGTGAAGAGTGCTTGTCCTTTTCAGACTCCGCCATGTTGCTGACTACCGACTTGGGTAGCACGAGTGAGTAGCGCTTGTCCTCTGTGTGCTTGTTCAAATCCTCATGACAACTCACCGAGTACTTCCGCTCCTCCAGCTCACCTGTCACTATACTGTTCACTACACGTGGGAATGACGGAGACAGTCGGTTACTTTCCGGCTTGCTGTTCCTGCTATCCTCCACTTTCTGACCTGCAGCACCATAATCCATCCCCTCTGTTGGCTGAGAATGTTCTTGAACCAGTTCCACATGACACTTGTGATCAACTGTTTGTCCAATCACTGTCTCATGAACATTAGAAGCATTATAATACTTCTCGGCTGCATGCTGCGTCATCACCTCTCGAACCATTTCTTCCAACCGCATGTTCCGTTCATTTTGTGTCTTCTCTCTGCCCTGACGTTTCTTCCTCACGATTGATCGAAGCCGTTCAAAGCTACGCGCCAGCTTCGATTCTTCCCCCACTTCCTAGGAGATATCAAAAAGGCGTTAAGGATATTCACGTGCACTGCACAGCACTGATGTGTTTGAGAGGAAGATAGTTTTATGTACTTGCAGATGTGTTAGTACTACAGCAGTATGTTGCCAACTGGAATCTGTGTTGCACTGCTTGTAACATTCTTCCTCACACTGAAGCCCAATATGTCATTAAATGAACAGTAGAAAAGAAAACATCAACCATCTGTACCCGCACCTGCCTCATCTTCTCTTCAATGGAGGATAGTAAGTTATAAACAATAAACAATATGACAATTCAATCATGGAGATTCAGAAACTAAACTTCCTTGTTGTTCATGTGCAATGTAAAGTAGTTTACAACAAATCCACAGTTGTGATGGTTCCATGAAATTTGACTGCAGAAAATCAACAATTCATTCAAATAAAAACCCTTGCTGGTTCACTGCAAGTTTAAATTTGAGCTATAAAATGTTCCAGTAATAAATTTAATAAAATTTCTTTCATAAAGATTAAACTTCATGCATACAGACACACAAGAAATCTCAAAGTTAAGATATATATATAAAAAGAACTAACTTGTTGGGAGAGGGGGGAGGGTGTTTAACATGCAGTATTACCAACCCATTCCTATTTCACACACTCAAGGCTCTAGGAGAAAGTCCTTTGTTACCGGGGGCACACTACAAACTGTTAGTTCACTCAATTAAGTGAAAGTTTCTAAGAATCCTATACCTCTTGGAGACAGTGCAGAAAGAGGGAACTGCTGGTGTCCTCTGGAATCTGATTGTGGTTTGGAACGTCAGGCAGTGTTGAAGTTTGGCGAGGGTGTGAAGGAAGAGTATGGCGGTGATGAAACAGTGGAACAGGGGGAGCAGGTGCCACTGACATTCTGGAATATGGACACCAGCACTTTTGGCATAGTTTGGTTGCAGACTGCATGTGCTGCTGAAGCTGGGCTACATACTCAGCGGCCTCTGCATCTTCATCATCATCTGGCTAGAAAATCAGTGCACTCATCATAATAAGGGGTTCACAACTTTTTGAACCAACTGTCATTCACTTAAAAACTCCCAAGCCATATAATGCTTTAAGCAAGAAAATGTACTCATTTGGAACAAACTAAAAGGAAGTGACATGGTTGATCTGATGATGGCCCACTGATGAAACACTTGCAATCAGATAAGAACAAGAAGCATAAGAAGTATTACGTCTGTGACCAGTGAGTACCAAATCCCATACAATTTGTGTTGACAGCAATACTTAAGAACGAGAATGGGGGGAGGAAAAATAGAAAGGGAAGAAAATATAAGAGTAAGAAGAGGGGAAAATAAAAACAATGGTTAAAAATAAGAGACTGAGAAGATGATTAAGGAACAGAAAAGGAAGGAGAGGGAAATATGCAAGAGGAAAATATGAATGAGAAGAAAAGAGGAGGAGAAAAGATGAAAGTGGAGAGGATAGAGGAGAAGATGATAAATTGAAGAGGAACAAAGAAAAAGGACAAAATATGAAGAAGTTGGAAAAGAGGAAGGAGATGAAGAACGGGGATGACAAGAAGCAGAAAAGAAGATAAAGACAGCGATGTTTTCACATTGCCTCCATTGCTGCATTATTCAGAACAGCTATGTACTGACTTCATGTTAGGTATGAACATATTACATTCTGTGTTCTCTTTGATTGTATCTGTATCAATGGGAAAAAGAAACAAAGGATTCAGCATCTATATTTTTAAATTTATGGCATGCATGTAACTGCAAGAATCCCTCTAGAAAAAGACTCCCGTTTTTCCTTAGTCTCAGCTGTACTAGCCTCAATAAATTTAAGTTTTAACACTTTAAAATGCAAAGAAAACTACATGTGCCAGTGCTTTAATATTAAAAATGTCTGTATTTTGTTGATGACCGATTAAAATGTTTTGTATGATTCTCGTAATGTAGAGTAACAACATTAACCACTCAGCCATCACAGCTGAGGTGTACTGTATTTCCTGTGTGGGAGGAATTGAATTTTTTAAACATTATTTACAAGAAATCCATGCTTCTTTGTTCTATGACAAAGTGATCATTTTATGTGTCTGTGGGGCTCTAATGTCAACGTGGTGTAGTCTTGTCATTACTCCGATGACAACCCACTTCTTCGGAACAATTTGTTGGCCCTGAAAAGGACCGTGGTTGCTGAGATGATTGATCGGTGAGGTAGCGCGGCGCGCGCCGGTAAGGAGAAAGGCTAGTTGCGGTGAGTGGAGTGGCCGCAGTGCGACCGTGGCAGCTGGTTGCTTGGTTGCCGTGCGGCAAGTGATGGAGGTTGCTCGATCGCAGTGCGGCGGTTGCTGGTGAAGGCTAGTCGTCGAGCGCGGTCGTAGTAGCCATGAGGCAGTGGCTACGCCAGAGGCCCAGTGGGTCGGACCGTAACACGACCACCGGCGAGTCCAGGCGCGGTGCCCCAGTGAGTCGGGTGTGAGAGCGCTGGAGGGCCGAGGCAGTCGTGCCTGGCGCAGCCTGCCGATGTCTCCGAAGACCGAGCGCTGGCGACGAAGCCTGCTGGCTGAAGTTGCTTGNCAGCTGAGGTGTACTGTATTTCCTGTGTGGGAGGAATTGAATTTTTTAAACATTATTTACAAGAAATCCATGCTTCTTTGTTCTATGACAAAGTGATCATTTTATGTGTCACATGGTTTGACTTAAAAATAAATTTGTCCACATATTTTACTATTATTCTTCAAATGAATCTTACAATGAACAGTAATTATTTCATTAAACAATATTAAATGACTGGACTTTGTAAAGAAGATGTAGTGCGCTTTCTGTAAGGTAGTATATGAGGCTTTAAATATTATTTATATAAATTTAATGTCCGAATCATAGTACCCTTAACACAAAAATGGACTGGCAAAGCCTGGGAAACTTCTAAAATTATACTGTATTGCCCTCAATCTAAAATGTCTCTCATTTCTCTTAAGCCTTCCCATTTTACCTGTTCTTCTACTATACTTTGTGACATCTTTTTCTCTCTTATGGCTTCAGTATCTTTTTGTCATCTCTGACATGAATTAACAGACTTTTTCCATGGATGCTTAGTTAGTTAGTTAGTTAGTTATTGGAGAGGGTGGGTTTCCCCATGCACTTAGACCAGTATTGGTCCATTGTGCTTCCCTCTATGATATTCTACCAGTCTCTATACCCTACCAATACTGGTGCGTACCATCAGTCCTGACCGAGCCAGCGAGTTCGGCCTCTACTGGCTTAGCGGTATCTATAATGCTTCCCCCATCTATCAGAGGCGTTAGAGACTACTGTTGGGCGGGAAATGTCCTTGAATTTGGCTCAGTGACCTCCTTTGGAGATATGAGGTTCTTTTACGTGTCGTAAAGCTACGACACAGGACCCACGGCTTTAAGTCCGTCGTAAAGCTACGACACAGGACCCACGGCTTTAAGTCCCTCCCGGAGGACTTGTTCCCTGAATTTTTCCGCCCTTAAAAATTCCACGACCTCCGCCAGGTTTGAACCCGTGTACCACATGTCATGAGGTGGGAACGTTACCTCTAGACTATGGAGGCCGCTTCCATGGAAGCTTAGTCGACTAAGAACAGCTCTGGCCCCAGATACGATCCACAAATTAAACTAATATAACAGTCCAAATTTTTCTTATCTTTAAGGTTTCGAAGGATTCATTTATATGGCAGCTTGGGATCATGAATTAGGACACAGATGAATATTACTTGTGGCCATGCCAAGTGTTTCTCTTACCTCTTTCTTTGATTTCAGCTCCTCAGAATTGAAACTATTGAGGAGCAAGGCCAAGAAGAGATTGAGGACCATGAAATTCCCCATAACCAGAGCTGGCAGGAAGATTGCAAAACATGTTTCAGGACCCTGTGAAAATTTCAGCCTGATTACAATAGGAACAGCACACAGAATAGTTATAATATTGTATTTCAGCATTCCTATTGCATTGGTCGATGATTCAATTTTTGTTGGCGGTCTTGAAGAGTTTTAAAAAAATGTGGAACAGACCATGAATGGCCTAATCCATGGTGATGATGATGATGATGCCTTGAAGGCGCAACTTCTTGTTGTGTGTGTAGACTGTCAATGCAGTACAGTGTCAGACTTATATAAATGTCACTTTTACAATATATTGCTACCTTATTTGGTCATCATCAAAGTAGATACTTTTTATGTGATTGCCTCCTTGTACTGCTTTTCTAGGTTCACTGTTCTAAAGGGAGAAATTGTGTTATTCTGTCACAGAACTGAAATACAACACTATCAACAAACATGACATCCTCGGTAACAACCCACCATCCATGGAAACCACATAAAACCTTGATGAATGGGCATAAAATATAAACCTTAAACCCATCACAAACACTTTTATAAAATTTTATAAAATGAACCCAAAATATAGGCTAATTTTTATCGCATCAATTCTCAACCGATCTCACCACAGAGAAGTTCACAAGCACCACAGATGGATGCACAACTAGAATACGGTACCTTCAACGCGATATGCATGAGTCTGTGTGACATTCACTACTGCACAAATGTAACTTAATGATTGTGGTGCCATGGATATGGCAGTCACCGGCTTCCAACAACAATGGCCAGGGCTTCAATACCAAGCGAAGTCATGAGAGATTCATGGTGGGATTTCCCATAAGTAAGTAAAAGTGAAGATATCCTTGTAACAGGACGTGAAGGCCCACAGGGTTGTGAGATGTTGAGGTTCCTACATTTTCTAGACAATTGGCTCACAGATGGCGGTAAGGTTGTCAGCCTTACGTGCCGGCCGCCCTTTAGCCCCAAGAATATTCCTGATACTCATTTCTGTTAGAGGCTGAGTCGACACCAGGGCCATAATGTGGCTGGAAAGATTAGGTCAATTGAAAAAATCCAGTGACCTCATCGGGACTTGAACCCACGACCTTCCAACTCGTAGAAGTATTGTTAAATAAACGAAATTTAAAACAAGTTAATATTTTTATCAAATTTTATATGTACAAACATTTTAATTCTTTAAATCATGGTGGTTGCTATATATACGGCCTGCTTTAACATATTAAAACCCCACTTTCTGCAAACAGCATTAGCCGGCTGGGCTTTGTAGTGGAGATGTAATGTGTTTCCCGTGAGGTACAGACTGGATTTACACATATACATATTACTTAGAAGAAATTTGTTCTTTAAGAAGTTAAATTTTACACGGGCAGCTAACATATTTTTAATACAAATGCAATTCAAATAAGCCAGTATTAAGGCACACACTTTCTCACATTTTCATGTGATCTGAAGATGACATTCACTGCATGCTGTAACAAGTAATCTGCATTCCATGTACTAGAAATGTATGTAAACAACAGAAATCAGAGTGGCAGATTGAACTCGGCTGCCGTGTAACATAACATCTTGATCTCCTCACTGAGGGCCAGTGCAGCAGTGCACACTTACAGCATTCCTCTCAGCTCTCATGCAGTCCCACAGAGGCTCAATCCATTCTCCACACAATATCCGAAACACCATCATGAACGAATGGAAGAAGTCATTGAAATTCCATCTGCAAGAAAAATGCCATGATTAACTCTATACAGGATGTCCCATGAGGAATATGCCAGACTTTGGGAGGGTCTTCCTTATGTTAAAGTATGCCAATATAACCCAAAACACCTATGTCCAAAGTTGAACGGTTACGGAGATAATGGCCAGAGAAGTGTGAAACTTTGACAGGTGTTACATGCTTGTTGGTTACCAAATACATATTAAAACTGGCAGGAATATGTGGTTTCTGTAATGTTGATAATGTATGTAACATCAAACTAACTTGTGAGTGACATGAAGCCATTAAATTGAACTACAAAAAAAAAAAAAAAAAAAAAAAAAAAAACCCGCAANAAAAAAAAACTCGCATGACATGTCATAGTTGTCATTAGGGTTCCAAGCACTATACATGACACATTGATGGCAAGCACTGATGTAACATTGCTGACTGCGCATTCTGGTATGTGAGTGTATGCGGCTAGTGTGACTCATCATCTCCACACTCAAGGACAAATATCCATAAGACTTGTCAGCTGACAGATACAGTGCATGGACCCACCAGAAGACCACACTTTTCTCGGGCCATTATCTCCTTAACCGTTCAACTTTGGACATAGATATTTTGGGTTATATCGGTATACTTAAACATAAGGAACACCCTCCCGAAGTCTGGCACATTCCTCCTGGGACATTCTGTATATGCCTGCACCCCACACACCAGGTTGCTGCAGTGCTTGCAGCATGTGTGCCCGAAGTTGGTGGGGATGAGGTATCTGACTCTGCCACCTGGATTTTTAGAAAAAGAAAATGATATATGTCAAATAACTAAATATCAATACCACACATTACATTTTTTTTTTAAAGAAGGCATTTTTCTGTCCTAAATTCTTGTGGTTGATTGATAATATAAAGACATTTCTCCCCTTCACGAAATAATCCTGGCAGTGCCCATGGTTGTAAGGTTGTTTACAATCATATGTACTCTTTACAACCACCTAGTATCTTATTCTAATATACTACTATATAACTTCTGTTTACCTAATCTTCCAATTATAATGTCTTGTTCGTGTTTTTAGATGCACGTTTTTTGCCATGTCTTTTGGCCACTGAAATCCATCCAGATTCAATACAACACATCACAACAACAAAATTTATCAAATGTTAAAATACACAACAGTCCACGATGAAGAAAAAGTGCAGTTTATTATGAAACGGGTGATGGATTACATTTATGAATGTTGCTGAACCGTTGGTTGTAATTTTGAAATTAAATTGGAATACATTTTAATCTGCTGAAGATTATTCTGATGATAAAATTTTAAGATGTCTTCATATTGTTTGTCTACAAACACATGAGATGAAATATAATAGGAATCATACAAATTAATTCATATGTAATATCATACATCTGTTTCAAACTTGACAATTTGATGGTAATTGGAGAGTCAACTATTTTAATATACATGGATACACATTTATATAGAAGTTAAATGAATACAGTAAATTCTAACTCACCCAGCATTCAAGTGTTTGGAATTGTTCTCTAACCAGCAATAATTTCGAAGGAAATTTACGATTTATATAAAGTTATATAAGAACAAATTTGCAATGCATGTATATTCACCCACCACACTGTAGTTTTCCCAGGTGCCACAAGCATCACTACTCATCACCATCCCTCATACATCTGTCATTACAGGCTAGTTCATAGGAGAAAAAGAAAAAGTGTACCTGTACCTTGGTATGGGATCAGGATAGAACTTTTCTGCAGTGTAGTCTTTAGAGAAAAGCTGCATTCCAATCACAGCAAAGATGTATATGACAATAACAAGTACAAATGTGAGATTTCCAAGAGCACCAATTGTGGAAATGATGATACTAAGGAGAACTTTCATTGTGGTCCAGGACCGCGCCAATTTCAGGACCCGCAGCTGCAATAGAAAAACATCTTAGTCTTGTCTTCTGGTATGTGACTGTGTAGCCTGGCAGATGATTACACACATTTTGGAGAAAAGAATGCTTTCTCCATCTCTAGGACAGAAAAGTATCCTGAAGATTAAAAGTTTTGGTATGGATATAGAAGGAGAATTGATACAACTAGGTCCTTGAACAAACCAATAGGAGTAAGGTGAACAGTTATGAAGAACACTTACAGGGTCATAAAGGATTGGAAATAATCTGCTAGATTACACAGCATCAAGCCCAAGGTGATACTGGTCTGCACAGTCATTATTGTTAGTTGCTAGAACATGATCCCCTGATGATGGAGACTGAGATCATCGCTGACTGTGGAATTGGGGTTTGATTTTCTCCAAGATTTTTCTTTTCCCTGTACTATCCAGACCAGGTTTGGGCCCACCCATCCTCCTATCCAGTCTGGTAGCAGGAGGCTGTAAAGTGGCAGATGCATGTAGGTAACCACTCATCACTATCTAGTGCCAAGCATAGGAAGGGTGCAGCTGTACCTTCAGTCTCCCATATGTCTTAATGGCAAAGTGCTTAATTAAGCACAGAGGTAACTTTACTTTTACCTTAATGGTCTGATATCTTCTAGGTAAAATTTGGAATCAGAATGTGTTCCAAAATGACTGCAAATTGACAACAACAAATGGAATTCCAGACAGAATACTAAATTAATATATAATTTGATACAACCAGGGGCAACAGAAATAAAACAGATTGTGTAACTTTAAAAAAAAAGCTTCAAGACAATATAGATTTTAATTTACAATAACAAATGACAGACAGATATTGTAAAATAAAATTTTGACACAAGCCATAAGACTTAAATAATTATAACTTACTGATTTTTACGTTGGAAATAAGAAACATATGAATAGAAGCACAGTTCTGATAGGTGCATTATTTTATAATTTTATAATAATCTTTTAAATATTTTAAAATTAATTAGTAAACACAAAAACCTGCCAGCAAATTTAAGTAAATATAAGTAGTTCATAAGAACATTTCAATGGAAATACATATATACATGGCCTCATAGTGATATCATGAAAGTTGAAATATCTGGCTCAGGAAATGACAATACATTTTGTATAATTGTTACATCATGCGGAAACAAGTATGTACAAGACTTGGCTATGTAAAAGAGTAAAATACATAGAAGAGATGTGGCCAAACTGTGGATCATGAGCTATATGTGACCCTTTCAAAGTGTTAATGTGGCTCATGGGGGGGGGGATTATTCGATCCCATTGTACAAATATAAAAATGTGCTGTTTTGAATGCCTGTACCCAGACACCTGTGCCACCCAATCCAAGTCTGTCTGCAGCTCCCAGACTTTTGAAAATTATTAAGTGCAGAGCCAGTGTTCAGAAAGTTTGGTCATCCCTCATATGTAATATATAGAAAAAATTATGATTCTATAATATTTCAAATTCCTTCTTACCAAACGCAAACACCGGAGAACCACAAGACTGTCCATTAACTCAAAAGACAGGTCCAGCAAACTTGCTGACACAATAATAAGATCAAAAATATTCCAGCCACAAGCAAAATATTCTTTGCTGAGAGCCAGAATTTTGAGGAAGCACTCCAATGTGAAGATGGATGTGAACACCTGCAGAAAACAGAATTCTGTTATGTTCACACTGTTTGCAGCAAAGCCATACACATCTTTCTGCATACTGACAGACACAATTTTCTCTTAAACCAAGCAAATACAAGCACTTAATTTGATTTTAATTCGCTCTGATGGGAGCTGGGTCAGCTCAGTCAATATAGTGACTTGGCTATATGCTTTTCAGGGACAAGAGAATTTTCTCTTCTCCAAAATGTCAAGATCAGCTCTGAGGCCCACCCAGCCTCTTATCCAATGCATACCAGGGGTCCTGTCCCCAGTCATAGGTAAAACAGGAGCATGAAGCTCACCATGCACATCTCATGCAAAGGTTAAGAATACGTGGAAATATACCTCCACTCCTCCACCCACCTTCATGACATGCTGTTTATTTAAGCATAAGGACAACTTTATCTTTAGTGAACTTGAAGTAAACATGTGACTGGACTGAGAAGTCATGTTTCATGTATCAAATATACATTCATGATAATCTACTATCTATGCCTTATACCAAATTTAAAAAAATTGTTTTTATTTTATGATTTATTAATGACCCTTACTGAAATCTCTTGTTATTACAGACCTATTGGTTATAGACAGGAAAGGCTGGTAACGGGATTGCTGATTGGCCATTGCACATTCAGGCACCAGTTCATCTTGTGGGTCTCTTGGAAAGCACTATATGACAGAAATGTGGACAGAAAGAGAAATCCTGCCATCATAGACTCTGTGAATGCTCAGATCTGGTTAGGTAGAGATCAGAGATCTTCAGTTCTGTGTTGCCAGATCTCAGAAGGGCCTCATTCAAGATGGTCCTGGCTCTAGCATTATTATTTGGACTTTGTGAAGGGCACTATCAGGATCACGTGTCCACTAATACTAACACCAATACCATTATTCAGAGGAGTCATGGCGCCATGTTACTGTTCTCTGAGTGTTTCTAACAAACTTGGTGCCTGAATGTAGGATAGCAATTTTGGGTAACAGGGAGCAAAAGAAAAACAGGGATAGTGTCTAGGTTAAGTTGACCATCTGATCCCTTTTAAGTGATATATTGCAAGGCTCTGGAAACCTGCTTAAATGCCTGGAAGGGCAAAATTACCCTCAAAAGTTGAGTCAACTTGTGAGACAGCTCTCTGGTCTATCTTTGTTTCCAGGGGTCAGGCTCCTTATTCATACTGAATGAGTTTAAGAATGTGCCTTGTTGCCTTCCGCTGGAGGCAGCAGATTCTTCTAAAACGTTTGTGCCTATCTACCAAACTACATGGTGTCACACCCAAGTAGACCAGATCAAGGAAACTTCCTCAAGTGGTAGTGAGTGTGGCTTGTAATCAGATGTCCAGTTAGAATTCTGGCTGTGACACCTGACAATCCAGACTGTCTTCCTCAGTCCCTCCAGGCAAACACTGTGAAATCACCTCAAATTAGGCCACTACTACTTTCCTCCATATTTTTTCCAACTCATTATTCACTATCACTTTTCTGGGAGCCTGAGTAGATCAGTTGCAGTTATGTTATGGGCTGAATGACTGAAGAATCGGGCTCTGGTTCACAGCAATGGATAGAGATTTTTCTCTTCTCCATAAGTCCAGACCAGATCTGGGGCCCATCCAGCTTTCTACAAAATCTATATGTGAGGCTGCAAATTGGTAGGAGTATGATGCTGACCAGTCATGCCCATCTAGTACCAAGGTCAAGAATGTAGCTATACCTCCACTCCCCCATACAATTGCATGGTGTGGTGTTTAATTAATTGGCCCCAGGGATAACTTAACCTTTAACCTTCACTACTGTCTTATCATTCAATGATATACAGTCTGAGCTACTGACTTCACGCCGTTGGATAAATTGTTAGTTACATAACAAGTAATATGCAAGGATGGGGTCTGTGGGTAGATTTATGTCCCCAGATGAACTGAATGAATCCCTGTTAGCTCTGGAATAATGAAACTACAAAATGAAGTATGGGAAAATGTCCAAGCAGAGCCATGGTGAATGTTTTTATTTACTGGTGCAAGTTTAATGTGGCTCTTACTTTATTGCCTATGTCCAGTGCCTGTCGTACTGACCCACTCATACCATGGTGTTCCATTGCGAGGAACATCGTGTTCAGGATGATACACAGTGTGATGAGCAAGTCAAACAGTGGGTCGCGTACCACCTTGTACAGTCCACTCTGGAACCGCAGCCAGCCATCATAGTCCACGCAGCACTGAGTGCACTTATCACAGTTCCTGTCTGGCAGGTCATCTGAAACAGAAATTATGGCATGGTGGTGAAAACGAATCTCACGAACTAATGTTCTGCTAGCAAAACCTGAAGTTTCAGCACAGCCATTATCAAAGCCAGCAATTACATGCTACCCTGAGCTAGCTCCAGCCAACCTCTCATCCTCAGAACCCATTTCTCTAAGATCCAACTTAACTAATTAACTAACTGTCTGCAAGCAGGAGCTGAGGGTACAGAGCAACTGATAGTACAGTGTGTGTACCTCTGCTCTCAAAACTTATCTTAATGAGATCCAAACATAGCATTAACCCCATCTCTTTCCAAGTGTAATTTTTCCTACCAAAATTCTGTATGCATATTTCTCTCCATTCTACCTACATGTCCGGCCTATCATAAGCTAACACTTTTCACAGTTCCAACATACTATACACTCTGCACAATTCACTAAGATCCTTGTAAGACCAACTTACTACATCGACCATAAACGTTACAGAAGGTAAACTGTTCCTGTGTTCGTGAACCATGCCATGAAGATACATGAAGTAGTGAAGGTGAAGTTCCTAACATTCTTTTTAATGTCAGCATTAGTTGGTGGTGAGTTGTCACAGTAAGTTCGGACTTTTTGTGGTTTATTTAATGACAGTCAGTATCTAGACTATACAGCACCACATGGTAGGATAACCGATGAATTAGTAAAGATCTGGAAGGAAGTGATCAAGGCCTAATCAAGGTGCTATCCTCACACTTGTCTGGAGGGACTGGGGAAAACCATGAGAAACCTCAGTCAGGATGACTACCGTTCTGGACGATATTTGAACCAAGCACGCCCTGAGTACAAATCTAGGATGTTACTGCTGGACCAGTATGACTAGTTCCTTCATGCTATCTTGTACATGTATGTGGTAAGCATACGTAACACTTTACTCATTACATTACTATACAAAGCTGCGTACCCAGCACCACAATGTGGGATAGATAGTCAGAGGGAAGCGTGTACATGTGTTTCTGTGTCCCTTGGCCCGGACTGACTCCGTTGCACTTGATGACACGGATCTCTTTTGAGCTTAAGGCCACAGTGACAGGTTCCATTCTCTGCAACAGAAGTAGGATATGTCAGGTTCAGAACAGGGGTAATTCAAACACAATGTGAGTATACAGTCCCTGCAGTGAAAGGAACGAGGCTAGAGTGATGTCCAGTATACAATAAATTTAACTGAGTGAGAGAGACAGATTTGAATTTTAAGACATACTTATAGAGGTTGGTGCTTTCATCTCAGACATAAAAAATTAGGCATGTTATAATTGGTGGTTTTTATTCATGTATTCATTTCTGTCTCACATGCGACTCACACTGAAAGTTTTAAAATTCAAAATTTTTAAACTCTCAGCAGTTTCAAGTTGTATGTTTTTATTTAACACATCTATTGCACAACATGTTCCAGCTTATTTGGTCATCATCAGGTGCACTAAAATTGTTGGAGAAATTTCTGGGCCTTCTGTACAGTGTCATAACTTTCCAAATTTTACACTACAACGTTATAAATTGTGGTTCTGAGGTTCTCGTGACAGTGGTTATGAAGTGTATTACCTTCTGGTCTGTGATTCTGTGTAGCCTGGTATACTCCACATGGCTCATATTTTGACCCTGAACATACAGGAAGCATATTTGTCTGAAACATCATTGAAATTCTACCAGACAACGCAGCATCACATCTTAGATGACAGTAGTCTTCATTAGCTACAGGAACATATATTTGCATTCACATCAGTGATGTTAAAAGAGGTGCCAGGTAGGTGCCCTGCACTCACAAAAGCACCAGGGTAACATCCTGGACTACCTGACACAATTACTGCCCTAATCATCACAGAATGGCATGGCAAGTTCACATTAATTACCTATATACATCATCAAGATCTAAGGTGACTTTTATTGCATTCTGTCAAGCTCAAATTTTGTATTTCTTGAAACCACAGTGTTGCTGAAAACGGGTATCTCTATTTACCATAAAATACAAACATATTTCGAAGTTTAAAGTACAGATGTTATATATTCAATAATCACAGTTTAACAACTACAGTAAAACTTGGTTATAGCAACATCGGTTTCTGCGACACCTTGTCTATTGCGTCAAATATTCAATGGTACGAACTAATTTCTCATAAAGCAACTGTTTTTATACCTTGCTTAGTATGACATGCACAAATGCATCAACCTCGTATGTAACGTCATTTTCATTCCTGAATTTCTCTGATATCGTGGGAAAGTTCGATATGTCTGCCCACCCTCACTTTCTCTACTTGCTGATGTGACAGTCCTGGAAGAATACGACCGTGGGCTGCAAGAGGAGCGTGGGTTTTATGCGAAAACAAGGGTGTGGGGTGGGACTGCGTGAATAGTGCAAGAGGACGCGGCAGGTTGTTAACTGCATTCCTTTCCTAGAATCTCGTCTAACAGGGCCTCACATTGTCTACTTACCCTATAGTGTTCCTGCCTAAACCCAGAGAAGTGCAGTAGCGAAAATATGGCAATGAAAAGGAAAGTTTTAAGCATTGAGGAGAAAATTAAAGTGATTCGTGAAATAGAAAATGGAAGGAAAAAAGCTGATGTATGCCGCGAATTTGGTTTGGTGAATTCTACAGTACAAACGATATGGACAATCCATATTAATTCCACGTTAATGTTACGTTAGTCTGTACTTAACTATGGAATTCACTAAAAAATGCAACATTTTAATTCGGTTTTTGGTAGATTTTTACGTGACTAACATAAGGCTACTGTGGAAGTGCCCATTTCGGTTATAACGACATTCGTTTATAACGACACTATTTTTAGGTCCCTTTGATGATGTTATAACCAAGTTCTACTGTATTTAGTTTTTAGTACTCACATTAAGGACACAGAATGTTCTGTTATGAGATATGATATTACCTAATGCTTTCTCTCAGCATCACGGCCGTTCCCAATGTGAACAATATTTGTGTAGAATCAATTTAGGATACTAAGTTTATAGGGTCAGAAATTTAGCTGAGATCTGTTGAATATTATTCTAAAAAAAGATAAATTTGTCCTTGTGCTTAACTAATTAAGCTTTACACCATACAGATGAATTGGGGAATGGATGTATGGATCCACATTTTCTTGTCCTCGGCACTAGTTGGAGGTGAGGGGTAAAGTTCACGCCCCAGCCACTTTACCCCAGAGGAAAAAGCCCCCTAGGCCCCTTGGATAGGAGGCTGGGTGGACCACGGAGCCGGTCTGGATGATGTGGAAAAGAGAAAATTCTTGACCCTACCGGGATTCAAAATCTGAACCCTTGGTTGTCCAGCCTGTAGTCAGTCGCTATACCAACTATGCTATCCTGGCAGCCAAAATATTATGGTATGTCATTTAATTCTAATCAGATCCTTGTGGATGTGGAATGTATGGTCTCTCTGTAAATATAATTTGTAAGTTACACATGCACTGGCCAGCAGCTCGATTATCATGTGAATCTTCATATCCAAAACTGCACGAAAATCTGCCAAATTGTTTGCAAACTATGTGCTTGGTAAGGGAAACTGCACACAGGCTTGATGAAACCACACGCCTTAGCTAAAACACAAAGGAAGAGCTAAGAGTCATCAGGTCTAAGGGTGAAAGTAAAACAATTGAAACTTTATTTTACCACACAGCTGCAAACTGAATGAGAAATATAACTCACTTGAACAACATTTGGGATCTGAGTAACGTCTTCTGATGTGACGTCTCCCTCCTCATGGTCATCCACCACACCCGAGTCATCAAGAGATGACTCACGGTTATTGTTGTCACTGTTGTTGCTGCTGGGGTGTCGGCTTGTCAGCAACTGCCCTCTGTGTGGGGGCCCTGGAGCTGTCAACAGTTAATAAACATTAACTTTTGACAAGGTTATGGCACCTGAATATCAAAACAAGCCAAATTTTGCGGGGAATTAGGCATGAGGATGTTGAAACAGGCAGAATTTGATGTGAATCAGAATACTGAATCAAGCACAGTATTATGGGCATTATGTATGCGGTGTCTGCATTGCAACTGCAGCTGAAACTCACCCAAAGCATTTGCTGGATGAAGAGTGTCAGCAGCATGTTCGCTACATGTAGCTGGTGGCTGGGGTGTTGCTGGGCCTTTGGCTTGAGGTGGAGGTGTGAGGGTGAGAGACTGCGGCCGCTGCTCAGGGCAGGGGGCACTGCTACTGTGCCGGGGGCTTGGTGTGGCTGACCTACTATGTCCCTGCTGACCCTGACTCTGGCTTTGCACCCCAGTGTTGTTGTCCCCTGAGCCACACCCCCCACCCCGCCCCCGCTTCCTTCGCCGCGTCTTCTTCCTAGTGTAGGATGCCAGCAACACTCCCTTTCTTGAGTCGACCCTCTTCCGCTTGTGTTTATCCAGCTGTTTAACGTTTATCTTCGATGGATCGAAGCTGAACGTGGAATCATCTCTGTGATCTGTGAGATCCTTCCTCCGTTCCTGGGACATGACCAGGTAACTCAGTGACTCAGACAACTTAATTAAATGGCGTCTCTAGCAATCAGTACTACTGGGTTTCTTGAATCTGTTCATCATCAAAATATTCTGAATAAAACATAACGTTTCAGAAACTGGATGTCTTTCTGTCCTCAAGTGGCAAGGGGGGAGGTAACTACTCGTTTATTCCTATGCAGTTCATTTGATGACACTGTCAGTAGCTCAGCAGCCTACTCAGTCATGACCATTACAGTGAACTAGCCTCAACTGCTGGTCCAGTCAGGAAGACTAGCTAGCTCTTTCTAACAAACCTAACTAAGCAGAATCCTGTCATCTCTTATAACTGATGACAGAAACATACCCAGTCTCTGAAATGTGCAGCTGAAACAACTAAAAATGACAGACAATGTCTAAGAAAATAGTCACCTTTACAAACTAAGCTATATCGTATAATTATGAAAATGTTAAAATATTGCACAAAATTCTTATTTTCCATTACATAACTTAATATCAACTTCACTAAAGTCAGGAGTCTTTCTTCATAAGTTATATAACAACATTTTCAACATCTAGACTATGTATTGTCAGATGATGAGATAGCTGATGAACTGGAAAGTATTCGGTAGGAAGAAGTTGTGGTATGATAAGGGTACTATCCAAGCATTTGCCTGGAGGGAATGAAGAAAACAATGAAGAAACCTTAGTTATGATAGCCAGTGTCTCGGCCGAGATTCTAACCGAGCACATACCAAATACATGTATACAGATTTACCTCTAGACCAATGCGTTTGGTAACAAAGTGAAGATCATAGAAAGATTCTTTAGTTTTCCTGTTACTTAGGTTAGAATTATCTAATGTGCACACTGACCTCTTGCGTAATCTCTGCCTCTTCTTCATAACTTAACGCTACCACAGCCAACATCAGGTTGATTAAGTAAAACGAACCAAAAAACACGACGACTGTAAAAAACACTACACTGATTGGGCCACAAGATGAGAGTACCTGGAACGCAGAGAAGCAGAGCATGTGAGACAAAGCTGTCCTCTGCGATGTGACGACATGTAATCTGATGAAGAGGTGACAAAGTTTAGGAGGAAGGTATGCATGTATCTTCAGAGGAGAAAACTTATGTGTCATAATGACAGAGGCAGTGGGTTCCTCCTAAACACTGTCGAAACACACCTCAAGATAACAATTTTTCCATTTTGTTCTTTCCCAACTTTAATATCTCTATATTTCTTTCTTTCAGTTTTGTTTAGATTATTTTACTCATTTTTCAAATTTATTTAATTTTATCTGCATTCTCCTCTTTTTTCCAACTTCCTTCCTCCAACACCTTTCTAATTTTCCCCATAGATTTATGAAACAGCCCTCTTTAGAACCACTGTGTTTTTCTTCCATTTCTCCTCTAGTTAAGAAAATGATAAAGGAGTAAACCTACATGGATTTGAAGAAAATTCAAGCAAGTGTGCAGATGTACCTAAGATTTGTTCATAAAGAATTATTCAGTCTTGGTGGTTCATTATGCAGAAAATATTTTCTAATTTAGGTATTAGAAATAAGTGATTTGGAAGTGTCAAATGATTCAGAGTTGGGCTGATCAAATCTAGAGAACGGGCCCCACATTCTTCAGGCCTAGATCCGTCAGACCGCCATATTTGTAGCGAGCTTATATAGTAACTGTACAAGATGTGGAGGAAACCTTGGCAGTCTCTGGATGTACTGCAACAAAGAAATAACAAGCAGTTCTGAGAATAACTAGTCACCTACTTTCCTTTCACTATAATTTTAGTATTTGATAAGACAAATGGGGAAAAATTGTATTATATATGTATAATTAAGTAAATAAAACAGTAACACAGAACTTAATTTTCATAGAACCTGAACTGCTCATTTTAAAATTTAAAGTGTAAAGTTGCCCCTGAGATATCATCAGGTGCTATGATATACATACCAAGTCTCATAAAGACTGATTCAGGCATTCAAAAGTTGTTAGAGTGGGATACACACAGACAGCAGGGTGATCCTATAAGCCCACTTTCACTTTTTCCAAAATAAGGAAAGTAGTATAGAAATATTCAGTCTCTTGTGTCACTAGATAACAGCCATTCAGAAATAGAAAAGATGGGCTGAAGCTGTAAGCTAAGAGAAAGTGGGCCCTATTTTACTGGATTCCGGTAAAAGAAAATGATCCAATTGCAAATTAAATGCTTATTTCTAACATTAACAGTTGAAAAATATTTGTGTTTAACAGATCAACCAAACTGAATAAAAATTTTTGGACATGTGTTTATGTATGTTCTGCACAACTTAGTCAAGTTTTATTCCAACCCATGGACTGGTTCATATTTAGAAATTTTTAAGAGAAATGTCACTCCTTTGGGGTCACTTTGTATGTGGGTCCTTAGATGCTATGATATATCTAAGAAATTTCTTTAACAATACTAGAGCTGTTGGGTTGTCCTCACCATGTTGTACACATTCTCCCAGTAGTCGAGGGTGATGAGCTGGAATGTTGTCAACATGGACCAGAGGAAGTTATCAAAGTTGGTGTAGCCATGGTTTGGATTCTCACCCACCTGGAGGCAGAAGAACTCCAACGGACAATGCCTGTAACATTAGAAAAAGCAGGTTGATCTGTTACGTCGAAACAATTCGCCTAATCCTTTAAGCTGCACTATGACCGTGGGATCAACTGAGCCTCTAACAGAAATAAGCACCAGGAATCTTCCTAGGGATAAAGGGCGGCCAGCCAGGGTGCATATGGCTCACAATCTCACCGCCGTCTGTGAGCCAATTGTCTAGAAGATGTGGGAGCTTCAATGTCTCACAACCCTACGGGCCTCCACAGCCTGTTAACAGGGAGAGTGCCATAAGATGAAATGGTTGAGTACAATGTCCATCATAAAAATATGCCATAATCTTTCTTTGTTGGTTTCATGTCAACACTATCCATTCTAAAACGTAGTGACGAATGACTTACTGGAATAAAATAGAACATGGAAAGGGTTACTTTATCCTGAAGATCTCTGGTTCGAGGTGCACAACTGCACAGCATCACCCAGTAAAAGCCTAGCATCATGTTGCTGGCTGGTTTGAGATAGCAGTGCTTGCAGTTCACAGATATATTTATGCTGCTGGGTAACGTGTTAAGATCTCTTCCAAATGACGATCACATATGAACACCAGGGCATTATAAATTAAATTTCATTTAATAAAATGAGGGGAAAAAAGCAGGGAGTCATAACAATTACTGTCCTTGAGGTCATGCCACCCAAAGTGGCTGCTTGGTTTGTCTGTGCCCTGACTGGACACAGGAGGCCAGGAAGGTCTGGACTTACCTTGCACCCGTGACATTGCCGCATATTACGGGCTCCTCATCTTCCTCACTTTTGAGCCAGTTCTCCGGGTCATGCACCCATCTGTAACAACATGGTAGATGACGACACAGTCTGGCACATCCTGTCAAAGTGAGCTGACTCATCAAATGAAGTAGGGTGCACTTTGAGAAGCTGTTAGTTACTCAGCTACTAAAGATATTAGTCGCAATTGAAGGAATTCTGAAAGTTCATTACTGTGAAGACAACTGTCCTCTCAGATGTAGTGCCATGTAGTCTGGTAGATGTTCAACATGTTTCAGAGGAACCTGCTGTGTACACCTTCAGGGTAGAAGACTGACATGGGAAAATACTCTGTGATACATTGAAGGAGTAATGAAGCACTGGGGTTAAGAACAAACAGACAGCAATGTAAAATTATGCTCATTCTTTTCCTCCCTTCACTACATCACTGACCAGTCTTCCCTTGCGGTTTTGATACTCATCTACCAGACTGCACTGCGTTACACACAAGATGACTGTAATCTTCACACACATACATGCTCTTCTTGTTACTGTGTGTCCTTATAAGTATAATTTCTCTCTTACTGTATTTTTGCGTTATCTGCTATTGCTATTTCTGTGTGCGTGTGTGCATGCGTATACTCACTCGACCCACTCAAGCGCTGTGGCATTGGCATCTTCTAGGCGCCGCACACACTTATTCCTGAGTTCGCCCATGTACACCTGGAGAGCAAATAGTGCGAAGACCATGAGACAGAAGATGGTGAGCGTCATAACTTCGGCCAACTGCTTGAACGAATGCAGCAGTGCATTAATGATGGTCTTCAGACCTGCAGAAATGGACAGCAATGTGTAATGACTCTCAGCACTACATAACGATAAACAACACCATGTAATAGTAGACAGCACTACTTAATAACTTACAGCACTATGTAACAACAAACAACACTAATAACTGACAGCACTCTGTAAAAATAACCAGCATTATTTTACAATAGACAGCACAATGTAACAACCACAACCACCACATAACAATTGACAGCACTATGTAACAACAGAGAGCACTACAAAACAAGTGACAGCACTATGTAACAATAACCAGCATTATGTTACAATAGACAGCACTCTGTATCAACCATAACCACTATGTAACTACAGACAGCACTACATAACAAGTGACAGCACTATGTAACAAAAGGCAGAACTACACAACAATTTACAGTACTATGTAATAATTGACAGCATTATGTAACAACTGACAGCACTACATAGCAATACAAAGCACTAACAATAACCACCACTACATCAGAATAGAAAGCAGCATGGAACGGACAGCATTAACATAAACTTAAAAAAATGCTGCACATCTTCAGAAAGTATTTTTCCAATAGGTCATAAGTTCAAAAATCTTGCGCTGAAAACTTATTTGGTTACATATTAATTAAAAAAAATGTGAAAGTACCCAATGTTGGTGCTGAGAAAAGAAAATCTTGGACCTCCTTAACAGAAAACAACAGCCCTAATTACTCAACTGCGATGTCTGGCCTTACCAAGATGTGGCCTGACATTTCCAAATATTTGGAGAATGTGCCGAACCTAAGGGCTCAACTTCATGTGCTCACAATCCAAATGTAACTGTCAACATTGAAGTGAATACAAAATACAGGTTTCAAGAAGCTCTTCATGAAGTTCATGAAGCACTTTCACGAAAATGACAACAGCTGACAACACAGAGACTATTACTGACAGCCAAATCTACTGGCAGAATTAGGACCACTTGCAACCAGTGAGGGCATTGCTCTACTGGAGCACTGTGTTACCATAGCCTCGGTCAGCACCACTACAATTTTACTGTACAGAGAGATATTAGTGCAGTATAGGAGCAGCACATTACTGTACCTGGCATGATAGAAACAGTCTTGAGGGCTCGCAGTACACGGAAGGTCCGCAGCCCAGCCAGGTTGCCAACATCCATGCCGATAGTGGCATAACCTGACGTGATAACAACAAAGTCGAGCCAGTTCCAGGGATTCCTCAGGTACGTATACTTGTTAAGAATAAAGCCCTTGGCAATCGACTTGATTATCATCTCCGCTGTGTAGATTGCGAGGAATATGTATCTGAAAGAGCAAACAGAAACTCTGCTGTTGCACGAGTGGGACACGTGGCGCCTCACTTTGCGTTTTTCTCCTGTGGATTATTTAATGACTTTTTCAGTATCGGTGTTAAATAAAATCGGTTGGTTGGATGAACGATGAAGTAGAAAGGATCTGGAAGGAAGCAGTCATGGAATTTGCCTAGAGGGGCTGAAGGGAAGTATAGAAACCTCAGTCAGGACAGCCGGTGACCTGAGCATTTCCTTAGCTGTTACCTCCAGACCAATCTGTTCGGTGTGTCTCATGCTGAGGCAAGAGTGCTTCAAGTGTAGATGCGTCAATGCACAAAGAGAAAGATATATTCAGTAGAACAAGGTAGATCTACCAAATTTTGTGACATCTTATTTGGTGATATAACTCTAAATTTGACACAAAATTAGGTGTGTGTTGTACAGTTACTTTTAATAGTTCTTCATAGAAGACTCTAGCTGACCTTCATTTGTCACTTATCTTGTCTGCATTTTGGTTGGACACACCACTGAATGAACTAAATTTTGGTCCTTCAGGTTGCAACAAAGTGTAATCTGGTAAGTCAGTACCAAAATTTTGATGATGCATACTTCATCCATCTTCAGGGTGGATGAAAGCATGATGTTCCACCAAAACGTTGGCACCCACCTACGAAAATACATGGTATATCACCACTAATAAAACCATAAATATCTGACCATGAAAAGAGGTTAGCTGGATGAGTGCATACTATATGTGATGATAATATTAAAAATGCTACTCACTCGGCTTCCTCCACGGTATCAGACATGGCCAGGAAGACGCAGTTGAGCAGGATGGTTATCATGACAACGTAGTCGAAGTACTGGTTTGTTGACAGGAAGATGCAGGTACGGCGGACAGCATTCCATGGTGAGAACATGAAGAACGAGTTGGTTGCAGTGAAGCGGTGAATGTAGTTCTTGCGGAACCGCTTCGACACCACGCAGAACGTCTGGAATATGACAACACATGCTAAAAATGCCAGAAGTGGGGCAGAAGTTCACATTCCCATTACAGTCTTTCACAGCTACTAAAGTACGGACAAGCTAAGTCTGAGATTAAGTCCTATTGTTTCTAACATCAGTTTGTTACAATGAATATGACTATTAATCAGGACGTTCCCAAATGTCTGGAGCTTTTCCAAATACAATGCTTTGGAAACTGTGACTGAATTATGCTTGTTGCTTGCTTGTTGTTTGGTGTACGCTTTAACTATGAAGATGGAGGCATTGTGTACTTCTGAGGAGTCAGTAAACTTCTACCAGATTATAACGCTTCATATACAGAAGATAAGCCAAATCTTTGTTTCTACACTGCTTACCAGAAGGGGACAGGTGTACATCGCGTCTGGAAAGTAAAGCAAAGCTATCCCTGTAGCAGTCCGTGGAGGCCCATAGAGCTGTGAGACGTCGAGGCTCCCGCATTTTCTATAAAATCGGCTCAGAGATGGCGGTGAGGTTATCAGCCTTATGCGCAGGCCGCCCTTTACTCCCAGGAAGATTCCTGGCACTCATTTCTGTTAAGAGTCTGAGTCTACCGCAGGGCCATGGCGCGGCTGGAAGGATTAGATCAATTGATAAATCCAATGACGTCATCTGGAATCCAACCCGCGACTTGTAGCATAGTGCCTGAAACAGCTACGATACCGCGTGCTTCCATATATGGATGAGTCTGGAGTAGTCACGTGGCTCAGCGCAGATCTACTGACGGAGGCTTGTGAACACAGTAACGAAACTTCGGATCCCTTACATGCTGGGAATTTCCTGACCAACTGAGCAACTACAGGCTTCTCAAGACGGATTCTTAGTTACGGATATAGCAATCTCGGGATCAGGTGGTGGGGGGAGAGCATACCGGTCATTGGCAGTAGTTTGGCGGCGTTCCCGACCTCCAGCAGCGCATCAAAACATTGCGCAGACAAATACAGAGCCGCCGGGCGACCGCTTACACTGCATTGCTGGTCGGATTTCGCAAATGTCCGACCCACACGCGTCAAATCAGTCGCGTTCGCAACGCAAGTGACAAAAACGGGCCTTTAGACCGGACGTCCGTGTCTCAGAGAACAGAGAAACGGATTTCAAATGAAATTTTGTGTTCGGAATATTGCGTTTGAGGTTCTCACAGTGGCGACTGTGGTCTGTGTCACTGCATAGTCCGCAAGTTCACTGAAGTTTCGGAAGAACCTGTTGCCTCCATCTTTACGGCGGAGTAACTCAAGCAAGTAACCAACATGAACCAGGTCCCTTGCCTCTGTCGGCGAACTTCTACCAGACTGTATGGCGTCACAAACTTTCATTTAAACCTTTGAACACTATCTGTACGGGTCGCCTTTTTTTTTTGTTGCTAGTGGGGTGGGACTAAGTCCCTTGTACTGCGGTCACTTCTGGCCTATTGTACCAGCCCCCGACGATAGGTGAGGGTGATTGTGGAGCAACTGGTGGAATGAAGATTGGCAAGGGAAACCGAAGTACTCTGAGAAAACCCGCCCCAGCGCCACTTTGTCCACCACAAATCCCACTTGGCCAGACCCCGGGATCGGGAAGCCAGCGACTAACCGCTTGAGCTATGGCGCTACGGGTCGCCTTAGAGCATCTACACTAGGAGAGAAGAATAAAAATATAAAGTAATGTTTTCACTGCGCTTAATTAATTAGGCATCACGCGACATTAATATGTACAGGGGAGTGGAGTCCAGTCCGTAGCGGCGGGCCACGGGCTGGACAGCCGGGGTTTGATTCCCGGCAGGGTCTATACTCTACTTAATGGCGTTCAGATCGTCTCTGGGGCCCACACAGCCTCCTGTACATTGGGTACTGGGAGCTCTTCCCCGAGGTAAAGCGGCCGGGGCGTGAAGCTAACTACTCACCTCATTCTAGTGCCTAGGTGAAAAATGGTGGAGCTATACCTCCACTCCCTCATACGTCTTAATGACCGAGTGCTTAATTCATTAAGCAGACGGACTTTAACTTTTTCTGTAGCTTGCCTTCCTTCTGCCCGAGTTTAGTACAAGAGAGAGTCAGTAAAGAGGTAACGAATGGATATAGAACGTAAAACGTGTGATATTCGAAAGTGGAAAGAACGCTTATTGCTCGACATATCCTCCACCAACATCGATACACTTGTCCCATCACGTTGCCAATGAGTGAACCCCTCAAAATGGAAATCACTTGATTGTTGTCTCAACCACTTCCGTTTCTACCTCTTCGTCATCTGCGAAACGTTTTCCACTCAGTTGTGAACTACTTTACCCGACAAACACTTTCCACAGTAAACAGGAACCATATCTTTATGAATGTCTTTTGCACAGAGTCCTTTTGCCCAAGCACAATAGAATTCTGCTCTTCGGTAGTACACACCATAAGCACGGTCACCATTTTGCCTACTAAAACCAGCCTCTGAACATGCGCATGCGCGTCTGCTACCTGGAATGTCATGAAGATGGGCTGTGCTGCTGCCTAGTGATATGCAGCTGCTTTACTTCCATTTGTAGCCTGTCTACTGACTCTCCCGTATACATGCACTCGTAGACCAGCTGTAGTGCCGCCCGCTTCACAACCGTTCCCACTGGCATCCAATTTGCATCTCTTCCTTTGTGTCTGTTGTCGCGCGGCCGTAGAGCCTGGTATTAAATTACGCGGTGACAAAGGAACATGAATATTGAGCGTCTGTTGTTACTCCTGATGAGTGTTCTAGGAACGAAGGAAAACACGCGCTGCGTGGGATGTTTTGGCAACACGAGGGCCGAGTGCCAAGGAAGTCCATTCTGGTACGAATTGTTTATTTTTCTGCGGTGCCTGTGAAGGTTACTGTCTTCTGAGACATGACTGCATCTAATATAGTAGATAACTATAAACTTTTCGGAAGAACATACTGACTCCATCTTCAAGGATGAAGAAACTGACCTCAGAGACGGGGACAGTTGGTTTCTACAAAGTCGCTGTACTACTACCAGACTTTTCGGCGTCACATCCCTGGAGGCGGTACTTCTCATACTCAAGAGTGTGAGAATTTCAAACTCAACACTGTCGCTAAGCAGACAGGAGAGTTAAATGTCGGAATAATTAAACCTGCATTTAAGACCGGCTCTGGGGTTCACCCAGCCTCGTATCCAGTGGCTACCGGGGGTAGAGCGGCAAAGGCGTGAAGCTAACCACTCACCTGGGTTCACCCAGCCTCGTATCCAGTGGCTACCGGGGTAGAGCGGCAGAGGCGTGAAGCTAACCACTCACCTGGGTTCACTCAGCCTCGTATCCAGTGGCTACCGGGGGTAGAGCGGTAGAGGCGTGAAGCTAACCACTCACCTGGGTTCACCCAGCCTCGTATCCAGTGGCTACCGGGGGTAGAGCGGCAGAGGCGTGAAGCTAACCACTCACCTCCACGCAGTGCCCAGGTCACACACACCTTCATGGTACAGGTAAAGGTGAAGAGCCCCGGTACCCACTGAACAGGAGGATGAGTGGGCCCCAGAACTGGGCTGGATGGCAAAAAACGGAGAAAAGAAAGAATGAGATAAAGGGATAGAGAAAACAAGATTGGTGGAACTGTTTCAAAACGAAAGATGGGGGGGGGGGGGGNGGGGAGGAAGGCAAGAACAATGATGGGATAAGCAATAAAGGAGAGTGGCTGGAAGAGCAGGAATAAAAAGGGGATATGTGAAAGGAGGAAACTATTTTGCGCATCATCTTCGAAGGGTCATGCGCTCTACCTGGCACGGTGCTTACTAATTAAGTGCGGGGACAGCTTTACCCTGTTTCACTTTCCTTTTTCTCAACGAAATTCAAGGGGAGACAACCCTAGAATTCTACAGAGCTCTAGCAACACCACGCTCCTCTGCGCGGCAGTGAATGGTGAACTCGGCTCCAGCAGATCGAGTCTTCTAAGATGAAATGCCTGAGATCACTACCAGACTACAGAAGAATGGACACATTAGATCTCAACTAAATATATTTAACCCAGGAGAAAAAGCGAAAGAATGCCAGCAGAATTGTATGGAACGTATTACAAGAATTCCGTTAGAGGCTTAGTCAGCCCCAGGGCCATAGTGCGGCTGGAAGGATCAGGTCCACTACAAAAATCCGCGACCTTCCTGCTTGTAGCATGGTGCATCAACCAACTACGCTACCGCGTCCAGCAATCTTCCCTTGGGAGGGGGGTGGGGTCAAGGGTGTTCAGCGCATAAGGCTGACAATCTCACCGTCATCTGTGAACCGACTCTCTAGAGAATGTGAGAGCCTCGACGTTTCAGAAACGCATGGACCTCCACGGCCTGTTACAGAGACAGCTTTACCTTACAAGAATGTCAACTAATCGAATTCTGGGTTAGCTCTGAATTACTGGGCTTTTGGACTTCCTTATAAAAAAACAGGAAAACACGATGTTTCGGAAACTGCATCTGTTTCCGTTCTCAGTGAAGGAATGGGAGAGACACCTATTCAGTTGGGCCCCTTAGAAAGAGCTAATCTCAATCACTGCACTGGACTGAACTGAAACGCTCTGTTCTCTAGCTTCTAGAATACCTGACGATGGCCAAAGTCCAAAATTGCAGTAATTCTGAGTGTTATACACCATCGTCAGAGCCTTCTAGAATCTACTCCTGGAAGGTTCTTTGACTATAGAGAGATGGATGTTCATCTAACCCGAAGATCGGTACACCTTGTAGTGATGATGACGACATGAGGACGAGGCAAGACCAGTAGTGGGTTGTGGCGATGAACCTTACCAAAGTCATACATCAAGACAGAAGTGGTATCCTATTGCAACTTGCTGCTTCTCAAGACTTCTGCCTGAAGGCGCTAAATGCAGAAGTTTCGTGGGGTGTCGTTACGGATAGCCATCGAGGGTTACACATTGGGGGTGGGGGGAGTTGGCACTGAGTCAACGTGTTCATTAGCCGCCGCACGCAGTTCCATAGCGCGGCCCGCGACCCACATCCTACCCGTTTAATTTTAGGTTT